ACGGCCAACGGCCCGAAAAACCGGAAACCGGACTCCGAAATGGGCAAAATGGCCTATAGCCACCAAATGTAGCCCACGGCCACTGAGAGATGGTCTACGGGACCTCTCCCTCCCCTCAGGAAAAGAAACAGAGAAAAACGAGTCTGGTTCGCAAACCGAGGCAAGACACAGTAGAGAGTTCGGAAGTCCAGAGGCGGGGCTCGCAGCTGCGACTCTGAGACTTCTGAACAAGCACAACATGCAATATCACCGAGTGCTCAATCAGTGACGTCTGAGTCTTAAGGTCGGTCAAAAATGGGGTGTCTACAGTTGCCCCTCTTAGACAAACGTACAAGATAAACAGAGATGTGCCCGCAGGCATGCCCGCGGGCAAAGGGGGCAAAATGCAAAGCGATATGCACAGAGCCGGAGGTGACTTATGATCATGTCAAGAAAGCTATAATGAAGCATACCATGCCACAGTTTTAAGCAAGTGAATACGAATCTAACTACATTTCATGGAGAAAGGATGTAAGAAAATTACGCAATTCTCATTGCGTCTCACGCGGAGAAGGCTAAAAGCGACTACTGAGAATACCCAGATTCCACAAACAACATCTCTCTGCGTATCACACATAGGAGAGGAAGAAGGTAAACCTCTCAGCGTATCACACGCAAAAAAGGAAAGGCAAATTTCTCAGCGTATCACACGCAAGAGAAAACCTCTCAGCATATCACACGCAAGAGAAAAGACCGGAATAAGAACACACAATGTTTTCAAAATTTGATATCATGGTTAGTAGAGGCCGTTTTTTGATCGGGCGAGCGGGGGTGCTCACGAAGTGACCTTCCCCAATCGTACCCAAGTTCCCGAGCCGAGGCAACTTTGGTGATGACGGACACGTGGCCTTAGGCAGCGAGTCAGGGTTTCCTAAATTTCCCAAAAATAAAATATTTAGGTGGCGGCTCTGTATCTGGCAAAGCAGTCCATGTTTGGCACTTCTTTTCAAAAATCTGTTTCTCAAAATGATTTGCCGGATTTGGACTCTTTGGTTCAGATTAAGAACAGTGACAATTTGAGAGTTCGAGCTGTAGTGACCCCAAATGAACAGAATGGAGCTCGTTCCTCCTGGGGCGTTCGGGGACGTCTACAGTAGGCCCCTGCCCTCTACTCTGAGGCTGACTTTGAGATCGGTTAGGTGGTAGTGGCGGCAACACCTATTGTCCTCCTCCTTTTTACGGACACGCAAAGGCCTTGTAACCCGGTTGACCACACTTAAAGCAAGAAAACCCACTCGATGTACTCTTCCCCGGGCTCGCACTAGGCAAGAGGAAAGTGGATCTAGACTGCTGCGGCTGGGGCTGGGATGGATAGGTATTTCTGTTCTTCTTATTGGGCCTATAATCTCCCTGCGACCCTTGGCCCCTAGACCTTGAATTTCGAAGCCTCTCATCTTCGGCCTCCATAGGAATCTCCATATGTGCGGCCGTCTCCACAAGACGGTCATAATTTCGGATCATGTTCCCGGCAACCTTGAACAAGATCTTGGTTCTAAGCTTCTTCTCGAACTCAATGCAACGGCGTTCCTCCATTGCTACCAATTCTGGTGCAAATCGGGACAAACTGGAGAAGGCCGCTTCAAACTCGACTATGGACATGTTAAGCTGCTTAAGGTCTTGGAACTCCTGCCTCAACCTCTCCCTAGCCGTGGGAGGTAGGTACTCATCTTGGAAGGCCGCCACAAATGCCTCCCATGTCGGTTCTATCCGGCCCTTGGCATACTTCCACCATTGGCCCACGTCCCCTTTAAGGTAGTAACTCGCAAGAGTCACCCTCAACTCACTGTCTTCTATGTGAAGCATCTCAAAAGTCTTCACAGTTTGTTCAAGCCATTCATCCACTTTCTTTGTCTCGAGGCTACCAGGAATTCATCCGGCTTGGCCCGCAAAAACTCCCTTGTGAGGAAGCTCGCCCTCGTCTCTACGGCGTTCTCCCTAGCTTGGGTTTCCGCCTTAAGTATGTTCATGGACTCTCTCAATGCCCCCGCCATTTCTCGGGCTAGGGCCCCCATTGCGGCTTGACCCGCTTGCCCCAGTATCTCAGCTTGCCCAACTTGCTCGGCCATATAAGCTTGGCCTACACCCTCTTCTTGCACCGGAACCTTTTGGACCGGTACTTCATGTACACTCTAGCGGCCTCTACCACGTCTTCCACCTCTACCACCATGAGCTCGAACCCTTCCTGACATCCTAATTAAGGAACAAGATAGATAATTTAGCACATAATTCCAAATGTGCTCACAACTTGCCTCACACGTTAAACTACATCATTCACCTATATTCTACCACAAAAAAAATTCAATTCACTCCACATAAGCACTTAGTCACGTAAACACACACGAATTATCCTTTAGTGATGAGATTTGTCCCATGAGAAACCAAGAATTCTTAGTAGAACGAGTATTGACAAAGTACCCTTCTGATAAGACCTCAAGGAATCTTATAGGCGCAAATAACATCCCAAAAGTCCAATCTCATACGCATATAGTCACATAAGCATGCTATCACATAATCACAAAAACAAAACATTTCCTAATCATGCGAAATGAACCCATTGTGGTAAAACAACCACTTCCCGCGAGCCTCAAGTTTTCAAACCCGGTCACTCTGATACCAAGTTGTAACGCCCCGAAATAAACCCAACATGTATAATACATCAAGCCAAATTCATTAATTAAATATAACCCTTCCCTAACCTTTACATCATAAATCTCCAAGGTTTTATAAAAAAGTTCCACATGCAGATATACATTCAATGATAAGAAGAACACATGAATCTATAGCATGTGAAACATCTAGTCTAAAACAATAAAAATGCCCTTAAGGGCTTACATCTTCCAAGGCAATAGCTCGGTTACACAAAATGGTCTCTCGGACCCATACGCGTTTAGCCCTTGGCTTACAAAAATTTGGAACAAAAATAAGAGAGCAATCTATTCTTCACAAAATAAATCCACGTCCTCCACTCTGCGGGATCACCACATCTTTACCTACACCAAAGTCCCATAGGGGTGAGCATAAAACTCAGTAGAGAATTCTTACAAAGCATATATAGTTATGCAACTCTCAATGTAAAATGCAAATGCCAATGCCATGCAATGCCTTTTTAAAGAAAACTACATTTCATATTTGTCTTGGTGATCATCATGTTTCAATAAAAGTTTACAATCTCAACAATTTCTGAAACTTCCAATTTTAATCAATAGGGACGGTAAATATGACACTGGTAATCCCTAGGTTGGTGTATGCAAGTAGGCTTAACAAGCACTACCAATAACCCCACTTTATCGGTTGCTAACCGGAAGGGAAGTGGTACCTCCTCCGCGTGTGTTTTCGGTCTTTCATTCCGGACACTCAGGCCAACTTATCAAACTCATCTACACCCGCTATCTGGACTTATCAATGTATTTACCCCATAACACATTTCCATAGTTCTTATCACAATACTTTTTTCTTTCATGAAATAAACATCTCCAATCCAAATTCACAATGCATAATAATAAATTGAATGAGTATGCCATGCAATGATTTTCCATACCTCATAGCATTTCTCCATTTTCCAATATCTCTACAATAATGTCAACAATTACATTTCCCATTTCCTTTCTTCTATGTTCGTTCACAAGATAACCATATGCCATCAATACATAGCTACAATTTCTCATTTCACAAGGCTTAGCAATTTAGTCTCTTCAAGACTACATTTGATGTTTTCAAACACAAATCTCCAATTTTTTTACAATTCCCACAATCCATGGTGTACAACGATTTGTCACATCACAACAATACATGTTCAAGTGTTTAGCAATAATGCTAAAATAACATCTCATTTCTCATATATTAGGTAGATTGCTATTTTGCTTAACATATGATGAAATTTTACTCTCATTCACTCCCTTGACACAAGAAAAGAAAGAAATCCATAGGCCTTTTCACATTTTTCCAAAATTCCCAAATTCTAGGGTTTTTCATCAAAGACAAAACCTTTCCCCATTTCCTTGGTGAAATCCTACCAAAATCATCTTTCTTGAGTTTTATAAAAAGAACATCCTCATGGATTAAAAAAAAAGGTTGGGATCTAAACCCATTCTTTAAAACCCTCTCTACATTTGGAACAAAATCAAAATCAACACAATACTTCAAGAAAACTTTTAAATCAACATTAATATAGCAAAACATGTATATATGACTCAAGAAATCCCTACCTTAATGTTTGATGAAGAAATGGAGATGAAACCCTAGCTTTAATGGAAGATTCTTCAATTTTTCCACAACATCAATAGGAGCCCTAGCTTAGATCTTCAAGATTAGAGAGAGAGGAGGAATCTAAACCCAAGGAATTGCAAGGATCAAAGGTTTTTTTTTTTGTGTTTTGATGAGGTTTTCTAGAGAGAATGAGGAGAAAAATAGTGTTTAAAGTGAGATAGAAAAGCCCCAAATGTGATACAAATTTGGCCAAAAAGAGGAAGAAAAATAGAGTTTTGGACTGCCCAGTTGGCCGCACATGCGGCGCCCATCCTCGCACGTGCAGAGCGCCTTTTCCGGCATGTACGGTGGTCCTACCGCACCTCAACCCGCACCTGCCTTTTAGGCAGTGTGCAACCCCCCTGAAGCTCATCCCTCTCCGTATGTGCTGCCTGGAGCCCCGCACGTGTGGCCTTGGCCCAGTAGCCCAGAAATTTTCGATTCGATCTTTGGCACTTCGGACCTGACCCCGCCCTCTCTAGAACAAGTGAAAGTTAATCACCGAAAAACGAGGACAAGGTTTTTGATTGAGAACTAAACTTTCGGACACTACAACCCAATGGGAAAACAAAAGAGAACGGAGCGAATAATTTATTCCCAGTCATCACAAAATGTCTCTGTGTTCTCATTACTTAACAACCCACAACTAAACAAAATTGACTGTCCATGGTGATTAACTCCTACAAACGAAGCAAACAGCATATCATATTTGTTTGTCAAATAGGTTGTGTCAAAAGAGACAACATCTCCAAATGGTTTATAAGCCGTCCTACTCCTTGCATCTGCCCAAAACAAGTTTCGCATGTGCGCAAAACAAGTTTCGCATGTGCCCAAAACAAGTTTCGCATGTAACCATCTTCATCAAGGTCAATTGCCGAATAGAAGTTCAAATTTTGTTGTTGGCTTTTATGAAAATAAAATGTAACTGATTCGGCATCTCCTACCCCAAGTCTCAATCTTCTAGCATTCTGAATATACTTCCTTGCATCTTGTTCATCAAACATTAATGCCTCATATCCCCCCGCTTCAACAACTATGGAATGAAAATTCCTAGCCACCCCAATCCCTGCTGCATCGTTAACTTCTAGTCTCTTCTTTACCAGAGTAAGAATCCTCTTATTCATTGGAAAATGTCGTGAGTCAGTCGGAATCAAATCATGAGTGTGCTCAAGCACAACTGTGGTTAACTTATATCTTCCATCTTTTTGTAGAGTGGCTCTAACCCTTGCTTTACAATCTATTTTTGACGGCAAAGATGGTTCGAGGGGATTTACTTCTGATCTTTTTATTCTATTCCGCGCCCAAGTACATTCAATTCCAAAGTACTTTACTTCCCCATCCGTTGTTACATTTTGTGTTCTATAAGCTATAGCAAATCCAAGTTGTTTCGCATATTTTGTGTAAAATGTGTATACTTCTTGCTTTGAGATAAAATACATCCCCTTCTTCGGTTCTTCAATTTCACCACTCTCATTAAATTCAACATTGTTATCTTGTTCTTCAACTTCCTTGCTCACATTGAATGAATTATTCATTGAATCAATATCCATTGTAGCCTCAAAGTGAAATAGAATAGAATAGACATTAAGAGAGCACAAATTATCATAGGCAGCATGAAAAAAAAAATTCAATGAGGTCTAACAGAGCAAATAAAAAAAACATTGGCAGGTTCACTACATAATTTTTCACAGAACATTGAATTATTCATGAAATCAATTTTGAAATTATTTAACATAGGAACATTTCATGAAGTTCAGGAGCATTTCATCAATTTTTCACAGAACATTGAATTAAGGAACATTTTTCAGTGCAAATTATTTAATCATGAAGTTCACTACATAATTTTTCACACACAGAACATTGAATTATTCAATGAATTAATTTTGAAATTATTTAACATAGGAACATTTCATGAAGTTCAGGAACAATTCATCAAATTTTCACAGAACATTGAATTAAGGAACATTTCTCAGTGCAAATTATTTAATTATGAAGTTCACTACATAATTTTTCACATAATTGTCATGGATTAATCAATGAGTTATGAGATTTTAAAAACATAGGGTCGAAATTAATCATGGAATTTTCACAAAACAACAATGTTCATGGATTAATCATGGATTTTTCACAAAACAACAATGTCTGAATTTTTTACAAAACATTTTTCATGGATTAATTTTTCACAAATTTGTTTTTCATCAACAGAACATATTTTTCTTCAACAGCAATGTTCCTTAACAGCAACAGATTTCATCAATAGATTTTTTGTGTGAATCGCCGCTCGAGCGGAGGAGTTGACGCTCGAGCGGACTGTTTTATTGGTCTGTGCACGCTCGAGAGGGGAAAGAGGAGCTCAAGCGTGAAAAGTAAGATTACCCTTGACATTGTAGTAGTGTATTTGGAACCTTCCTATTTTATTTTGGAGTATTGATTGAGATGGTAATATGATGGCAAAGTAAGATTGGACCAAAAACTTTAATTCGAACAATTCGTCTACGTTTAGTAGTCACTCTTTTGCCTTTTTCTTTTTCCACACTTCGAATTTGGATGTGAGGTTAGAATCATTGGAAAGCTTATTTTCGGGGCTTCAATTTAGACACAAGAACGACCTAAAACGGAGTCCGGATGAGAGAGCTATGCATGTTTGAAGTTTTGGAATCTGTGTTGGGAGCAGGTACGCTCGAGCGGGAATAGGGACGCTCGAGCGGGTTTTGCGAGTACAGCAACTTAAAAACGGGATTTTTAGATCTTTTTCACATTTTTCTTTTTCCCTCTTCTTTCTTCTCATTCTTAGTCCGAAACCCTAGCCCCAAAACCTTGATTTCCTCTACTTTGATCAACAACCCACCATGGTTTTTGCATCAAGAATGGAAAATAAGAGAAGATCAATGTTTTTACCCGATTGGAACTCGGATTTGCGAAGGCTTCTTCTCAAGCTCACTCCTTTGCTTGATCTTTGAGGTAAGGGTTCTAGTTTTCTTCAATACTTACATCAAGAGATAGATTTGTGGTATTTTCATTATATAAATGTACGAATTTTCATTTTGAGCGTATAGAGTAATTATGAGATTTGGGAATTTCGGGTTTGAAGCATTAAGGGTTCAATTGATGGGTTAAGGTGATGGAGTATGACCCTTAGATGTATGATCAAGGAGAAAATTGGGATGTAAGGTAATGGTATGAGAAGTTTGAATTTTTATGGAAAACTTTATTTTTCTTGAAACCCTAGGTTAATTTGTAATGACAAATAATGATGTTGCCCAAATTGAAAATAGAATCATGGAATTGGTGGGTTGAATTATACGTGTACAAGTTTAATTGGATTTTTGAGATGTTTTGAAATAATGTTAAAAATTTGCGAATGAACTTTATTATGAGCATTGTGAATCATGTTAAAATGAGAAAGGAAATTAGGGGAAATGATTTAGAGAATTAATGTGTGACTTCATATGTGTGTAGGACACGCTTCGGGAGGAATAAATGTTCCACCAACACACTGTGAGTAATAGTACGAAGATGTACATTTTATTTACTATTGATAATTATTATCACTAACGCTCTATTTCTTGTAAATGTTACACGAACATTTATTATGATTGAAAGTCAAGGTGAACGTTGAAAGATTGGCGTACATCGGTATGACTTTGAAATGACTCTGTTCTATCAATAACGAGTAATAATTCTCTAGATCTATAAGCAAACTACGTTGTTTCTTAATGAATAAATGGAATTATGGCTATCATTAAACCAAGTATCTGTATAAAACGGAGATTATTCCATTATGTTACATGTGGACCCGAGGTCGTTAAGAACCTATGACATGCATGCAAATGTTAACATTATTATGTGACTCATGCTAGAATGTGGGTTATTCTGCCCTTATTAAGCATATGGTAGTGATATATGTGGGCTCAGTTAATAATTGTTATTGTTATTATTATTCAGTTGTACGTGAGACACCTGTATTAATTTGTAACCAAGCCATGGGAAACTTATGTGCATTATTGCATAATGGAATTCTAAGAAACTGAAATTACTTCTATTACTGTTTCGGTTATGCTATGCTATGACATGATATGATGATTTAGTCTATAAGACCTATGAAATTCTGGTATAGAGCAAAGTGCTGTTCGGAACTAAGTACTGCGATGCGAGTTACCTTTAGAATCCGTACGAGCCACCGCTTGAGTCCATACATATGTGAACTGGGCGTAAAGCTAATGTGAAAGTTATGAGGCCTATGGCCATTTTGCATGATCTGTTAGTATGAAACAAAGTGCTGTACGGAACTAAGTGCTGCAATGCGAGTCACCTCTAGAATCCGTACGAGCCATCTCTTGAGTTCATACATGCAATACAAGGGCTTTATGCCAATACAAGGGCTTTATGCCATTACAAGGGCCTTATGCCAATACAAGGGCTTTATACCATTACAAGGGCTTTATGCCATTATAAGGGCTTATGCCATTCTGATAAGGGCTTCATGCCATTTTGTTAAGGATTTCATGCCATTCTGTTAAGGGCTGAAAGCCACTTTGTTTAAGATGGGGCCCAAGGCCGTTCTGTAAAAGATACTTTTGTATAAATGATTTTGAAAATGACTATACTATACAATGTTTAATGAAATCCATAATTTGGGTTACGGAATGTTTAATATGATAAGTACTTTATGAAATGATAAAAATGCTATGAACTTCCGACATGTTTATGTTATGATACGTTTTCTGGATAATTTTCCCAAAATGCCTAGATACGCTATGAAACTCCGAATGTTCAAGATATGCCAAGTTTTCTGAAGAAGATACTTTGCTACGCATACAGAAACAAATTAACCATATGTTCTCTTTATTGATAAATGCTCGGATATGTATTATAATTCTTGTTGACATTGAATTGTTGTGTGCTATTATTCACTGAGCTTGGCTCACTTTATTTTATGTCTGTTTCTGTAGGCACTCAATCTGGAGGTCAACCTTAACCTGTGGCTTCCGTTACCCAGTTGTCAATCCCAGAGTATCTAAACTCTTAGATGTTGACCGTTCAAGTTATGGAGTTTTGCTAAGTTTTAATTTGTACCCTAAATGTCTGTTAAGATTGATGTGTATGTAATCTGTTTAGTTTCTCATGTTTTCATCATACGCCCGACCATGAGGGTTGGGTCTACATGTGTATATGTACATGGCTATCTTCAGATGTACGTCACTGTATATTTATCTGTATTATGTTCTGTTTGTGATTCTGGTATAGTAGTGGTAGCTCAATGGATATTATTTTACATTATTATATGTTATTAAATGCTTCCGTTCAGGCCCCATAGGTTATATTCGTCAGGTTTTGTGTCCGTTTCTGAGGTGGTCATGCCCAAACTTTTAGGGGCGAGTTTGGGGCGTGACATTTTTCATCCACATTTCATCAAATATTTCCAGGAAGAGATTTTTGCAGAGTTCAATGTGAAACCCTAAATTAAAAACAAAACCAACTAATAGGTCAAGGACCATGAATCATAAGCAGCATCAATCATAAGCAACATAAAATTATCATAAGAAGCATGAATCAAACAGCCTCGTCAGTACCTTTCGCACACACAGCGGCAGCGGCAGCGGCAGCGCTCGTTGGTACTAGTAGAAGCGGCAGCAGCCTCGTTGACGGCACCCTTTCGCACACACAGCCTCGACGGCATCCTCTCTCTTACTCTATCTACTCTGTTCTTGTTTTTCGTTTGTTTTTTCTTTTTTTTGGAAATGAAATGTCTGAGTTTTGTTGTAAGGGATGACCTGTGTACAAACAATAGGGGTGGGTGTACAAAGAAATGTCTAAATTCAGGCCTTCCGAGCTGCGGCATTTTGAGCTACAAAACGGGGTTGATTACAATTTCATCCTTCATTTTTTAATTCAACCATTAATTCCATGAACTTATATGTCAATGTGATTCACCTCTTACTCCACTATTTGAAATTAAGTGAAAGTTGAGATATAAAACACTAAAATAATTTGTTACATAATTTTTTTTTTCTCCAATACCCCTAAATTGCCCATATGTGAGCATTTTTTTTTCCAAGGATAAGCGGCGAAAGGACCATAATGAAACACGAATTAAAATCTAATATTTTAATTATTACAACTAAATTATACAAGACCAAAATAGGAAAATGTTTGGTAACTCAAAATTTTGTGGCTCAAATGGCTCAAATCTGTCAAAACGATGTCGTTTTACACTTAAAATCTGTCAAAACTACGTCGTTTTAAGTGATTTGAGCCATTTGGGCCACAAAATTTTGAACTACCTAGTATTGTTGACCAAAATAACATTCAAATGAAGGTTTGAGAGAGAAGCATAATTTACCTAAATAAAAATTCACTTTCGTGTAACTTTCATTTTTTTCAAAAGTTTTGATTTTATGTATCTTAGAAAGCACGTGTAAGGTATTTATTGAAAATTATGAGAGTTTAGATAAATCAATAGAAATGGTAACACGATCAAAATCGATACAAGATCAATACAAATTGTATGGTTTGATTTGATTTGATTTTTTGAAAGAACAATTAGGTTTCAATTTTAAATAATTTAAAAGCTATTGATTACGATTTGTTTCACCAAATTAAACTCAAAAGAAACTGATCAAACCAAACCAAACTAAACCATCCTTCTCAAACCTCAATCTAATTCAAACGGCAATGAGAATGAGATATTATGCACAATTTTTTAAGGTAAATTGCATTTACTTTCTTTAAGATTTGAAAAAAAAATACAAGAAATTTTACAATTTTGACATAATTACACAAACTTCTCTTGTGGTGAATCTAAAATTATCAAAATTAATATAAATAATGCAAATACACAAGAATAAACAAAAAATAAAAAAATAAAAAAATCATAGATTTCATTGTAAAAGATATGACAACATTAATTATGTTTTTTTTATCTATACTAACAAATTATTGATAAAAAAAAACTGTCATATGAATTAAAATTTTAAAGGAACCCAATGTAATTATATTAAAATTGTGAAAGTTGTTGTATTTTCTCCAAAGGGGAGATCAACATAATTTACCCATATTTTTATTATGTGCATCATTTTTGCACTTGTTATGTTATTGAAAATTAGAGCCTTGCCTTTTGGGTATGGGTATTAGAAGAATCAGAGTTTGGAATAAAGCAGAGCTATGGCTAGATGTATTTGGCAAATTCATCAAACTTCTAATTGACTCCTCTGCTTGGTTGAGATGGCTTAGAGCTAATTTGGCTTGGTAAGGATCAGGGTTTTGGTTGCTAATTTCCAAATTCAAGAGCAGAGATTTTGAAAACTGCTCTCAAGAATCAAGATACATGTCAAGAACAATTTACTACATAACATTCACAAAAGGAGAAATTTCAGGGCATTCATATATACCTCGAAATTCATTCTTCACTAATCATATCTTGTGAAATTTTTCTATAAATAAATTAACCAAATCAAACATTATTGGAAAGTAAATTGTATAATCGCCGATTTAAGAGTGAAAAACAACATATACCAAGAAAATAGCAACTACTGAAAATCAATAAGCACTCTCTCTGTAAATAACCATTTTATAAGCAACTGGTTGCCCTTTAAGGTCCCTATGATTTTGGGTCTAATGGGCATAGGAAACCAAATTGCCCTTCGGCTTTTCAGCAAGAATTTCACCATCCTTTATGAACCCAAAAGGAAATCCAATTTGTGTCCCTTAAACTATATTGTTTAGTCCAAGAGTCCAAAAACACCATAATCCTTCATATAACCTATAAGTTCCAGGTTGTTAACAATAATGTTGGACCCCTGACAAGAAGGGCAAGCGAGTCTTGAAAGGCCGAAATGGCAATGGATTGTCCTGCATAAGCACTAATCGTTATTTCCCCAAGTATCTATCTGCCAATTGAAACAAAGCCAAATCCGAAAAAACACACCAGGGATCACCATCCTCCTTTTTGAACTGGGATTTTGGCAAAAATCATGCTCACATAACTAATGTTAGAAAATATAAACCAATATGCTCTTTGCCAATGATGAACTTTTCAGTAAAAGGAACTCCAGAGAGAGATAATGGCATAAGCTAAACTTTTCAGTTTTCGAGGCACTCTCAAAAGACATTAATTCCATAGAAAAAGTGATTGATCTGATCCAACAGCATACTAGGATTTGAATTGGTATAGACGTGCCGATAAAAAAAAGAAAAAGGATTGGAATAGAAGTTACTTAGTGCTATGAATATATGCATTTTTTACAAGAATAAATCTAAGCAATGATGAATACTCTAATAAGGTGCAAAAAATACAGAGTGGGTGAGACACTGTATCTTGCCTGCACTTGTTCTTGTTTGATTTTTACTTCAGTTCCTCGGTTCCATCAGCCCCCTTCACTCTCTTTACACAGAACATATCGCTTATAACCGTATCACAAAAAATCCACCCCTTTATCTAGCAAACCAAGGCTCTCAGTGTAAGTATCCACAGCAAATGAATGGTAACAATACAAGTCTGTAAAGCCTACGATCCCAAGATTCATAATTCGTTTGCTTTTAGGATCACAAGAAACCAAATATCCATCCCTCATCGCCACAAGAACTTCACCATTCTTTCTCATCCCAATTGGCTTCCTCAATCCTCCGCAAAGATCAATTCTGAATTGTTTAACCCACGATGCTACCACACCATTCTCTTTCATCATCCATATCAAACAATGTGGGTCATCGTGATATTGACAATGTTGGATCAGACAAGGGGTTTCCTCAAACACAACAAGGCTCATCCTTTCCATCAATTTCTCCTCGCCAGCTATACCATCTGGAAATGATATCTCCCTAAACACCTCATCGTTCATATTGAATGATACAATCATTCGAAAACTCCCAACATCCATTGGAGTGCGAGCAACCCAATGTGCAACCCCATTAATATAAGCTTGTTGCGATCGCTCTTCAACAATATATGGAAGAGCTTTATCACTAATGATTCTCCAAAACCCAGTCTTGAGAGTGTAAATTTCAACCTCAGGTGGAACTGTGTCACATTCTAATCCAAGATGCACAATTCTAACAACTTTGAAGTCATTAGACGCTGAATCAAACCCAAACCCTAAAGAATGGATAAAGGGGCCACGCAAGGTAAATGTAATATTTGGGTTTGGAATCGGCACAAACTTCCTAATCAATGGATTCCACAGAAATGCTTCATGGTTATAACAGAACTGATCATCAGAAATGCAAATCAATCCATTACAACTACCAACAATCCCAAAATAAGATTCTACGCAATTGAAAGGAAATTTGAGTTTCGCGTACTCATTGAATGTGTTGTTGTTAGGATCGTCGCAGTGCAGCGAGTAGTGCTCTTCTTCGTCAATGCAGTACCTAACTAGTGTGTGTGTGTGTTGTTGTCGGGGTTTGAAATGTTTCGATTGAGGTGGTGAGAGATGAAACTAGGGCTTTTTATGAGAGCGTACCATGACTTGCAAACCAGTGTGAATCGTACGAGAGTCTCTGCGGGTAGTCTCGTGAGGATATCAATCAACAATTCTCCAGGTATATGGTCCGACATTTCTTCTTCGATTTGCCAATTTTTAGGGTTTTGCAGAAACAGAGCAAGATTAACGACGATAACACAAGCGCTGTTAGCTTTACGAAAAAAGGTATTTGCGCAAAACTCCCTTCATTATAAAATTTTAATGTATTAAAGACGAATATTAAAAAAAAAATTAAAAAATTTAAAACATATCATTATTATCAAAATATATGTAATGAGTAATTTAATATTTTCAATTTTAAAATAATATATTTTTGATTTAAATGTTAACTTTTAATCAAATTAGTATTTTTAGACTCTTATCTATCAAATAAAATTCATGTGGATTATGAAATTATTAAAAAGTAAAAATAAAAAATTTATTGTTAAAATTGATGTGCACAGTAAATATATTATTCTGATTCACAACAACATTTTACTGTTATAAAAAACATACTAGTAAATACTAGATGAATTAACCAAAAATACACATACATAACATTTATAAACTTGTATAGAATAAAATAAAACTGTTTATAGTCAGAAAAAAGTTTAGATTGCTGTAGTTATTCATGGTTGATTATTCTTCACTCTCCCAACAATTTTGCAAAAAAACATTCTGTAGAATGGTGAGTTTTAGAGACAGATAGAGATTCAACTAATAAATATAGAGATTCAAGCAAAAGTTACAGAAATCGAAACCACAAGCAGCGAAGCAACAACTAAAATCCCGAGACGCGGATGACGATCACCACCACCACCACTCATCCGCCGATAAGCACCGCTCCAAGCATGAAAATCCTTAAGACCGCGGCGTCGATGATCATCATAGATCGAGAGATGAGAGGGACAATAGCAACTTAAGGCTTGAATGGCGTCGGACTTCGTTCATACAAATTTCAAATGTGTGATATATATATATATGCATGGATAATATTGTCCAAAAAAAAAAAAAGAAGAAGAAATTTTACTCTATCCTTACTCAATTATGAATTTTTTTCTTATGAGGTTTATGAAACAAAATAAATTAGGCGGTCATTTTCACTAAATAAAAGTCTAATGGAGAGGTTTTCGCTAAATTTCTCTTAGAAAAATCCCAAAGATTAAAAAGTATGGAAAATTACACTCCAGTCCCACAATTTGATTATTTTTTATTTTATTTATTGAAGAGAAAATATTTATTGTAAAAGAAATGGATTAATCCACTACAACGGTATTATAAGATTTCAAAAAAAAAGAAGATAAATAACCTTCATGAAATAAAGAATCCAAACTTTCATAGAAGAGAGGGGCCATCCTGGTTGGTAAGGGAGTATGCTCCTTTCCTTACTGACCAGGCTTCGAATCCCTTACTACTCAAGTGGAAGTTCGACGGTTTAGGTGGATCGGCTAGCTTTTCCTAGTTTGGCTTGTAAGGGTGGATCCTAAGGGTCTTGCCTTGGGAATGTTCTAGGTATCAAAAAAAAGAAAAAAAAAGGGAGAGAAGATAAATGACGCCATAAATGAGGGAAACATGCCTTGAGAGTATTCTAGGTATCAAATCTCTTCACATTAACTTAGAAAAAAAAAAAAAAAAAAAAAAAAAAGAGAAGATAAATGTCGCCATAAATGAGGCAAACAAACCTCCATATAGGAAAGATTATTGCATCAACAAACTAAAAATTAAGAAAATCAAATAGAAAAAAAAATACCAAATCCAAGTTGCCACCAAACCCATTCAAAACTAAAGAAAATCAAATAGAAAAAAAAAATACCAAATCCAAGTTGCAACCAAACCCATTCAAAACTTCAATGCTTTGTAGGTTTCAACTTGGAATTTGAAAACCGTATCTCTGCTGGTTAAGATAGAACATTAAAGTTGAGGTGGTCAACTAATATGAAATAAATGCGTTATCCAGCGTCAGCTTTCGAACTATGAGAAGATCTTAAAGTTTTGTACTTGAGAGTAGAAAAAGTAAGATGGTGATAGTCGGGCTGGTAAGACAAACATCAAATTTAGGTTAAGGACCAGATCTGCAAAACGTTTAGAGGAAGATCAAAGAGAGTGGAAGGGAGATAAAAGTGAAATCAGATAAGTAGGGAAACCACCGCCATTTTCCTCTTCCATAATAGGAAATTCAAAAAGAGAAAGCCGAGAGGGATCACAATTTGATTCTTGTGTCCATATAATCTTCATAGTTTCAATTGTATTAATTTTGTTTATTATTATTTTTAGTTTGTGACAATTTAGTTACATGATAATAACGGTTAAAAAAATGAATAAAAATTTGTAACATGCTCTAATCAAAAGGAATGAATCATATCTTCAAGGATTGGATGAGTTAATAAGTATGACGATTGGTCTTGAGTTTGAAATATCTACCAACCTCTTTATAGCTTTTAATTGAAATTGAGGGGTGAGGGGTAGGTCCTGGCATCCTTCCCGAGTTGGCTTATAGGGTCGGATCCAAAAGGCCCAACCTTGGGGGTTTGTTGGTTACCAAAAAAATAAAAAATGAGAAAGCAATGAATCATTTTGAGGCTAAGTTTGGCAAGTTAAAAAAAAGTCAAAAAATTATTTAAAAAGTTAAAAAGTTATCACTATTTACCAAAAGTCAACAAGTACGGCTGCACAACTCCCAATCCTAATTTTCCCCGACACATTAATTTATACAATTTTTTAATACACATTTTTTTCATAAAAAGTCAAAAAGTTAACCCAAACAACCATATTTTTTTCCAACTTTTTAGTCCAAAAAGTCAAAAAGTACACTTATTTAGGACATCCCAAACAACCCATTTTTGAATTGAACCTCAATCTCTCAATCATTTTCAGGGAGTGAATAAATTATTTTTTTCATTTATTTCAGTTCAATTCTTATCATTTTTTTTATCAATTTAGTTACAATTTTATTTAATTATTTTGTTTTTGTTTTTTTAGAACATATAAAGCAATTATATTAAAATAAAAACAAACAACATACGAATCAAGAAAAATAATTTTTTTTAAAGGACTAAACAAACAACTTAATGAGAACTACAAAACAACAAATAATAAAGGGTAAATTACAAATACACCCCTGAGATTTGATTAAAATACGAATCGCACCTTGTGATTCTGGAATTACATTTCACCCATGAGGTTTTTAATTTCATAACAAATCACTTATTTTATTAATAAATCATTAAGTCAACTAACAATTTTTAATGATGTTAGAAATATGTTTCAATTAATAATTTACGTAATTTTATTATTGTATAGGAAAGCAATTATGAATTTCATTTTTTTAATTAATTCTATTAAATAAAAAATTCTAACAAGAGGTATTTATAATTTTTCAAACTATAAGGGGCAATCTTTATTTTAAACAAATCTCAACAGGTGTAATTGTAATTTACCCAATAATAAAATACAAAGTTGCCAAAAAATTAAAACTACTGATCTTCTTGGACTATTCGATCGTCTTAAGTTTTAAAAGATGGTGGCACTGGAGGAAGTGCATTCATTTGAAGATTGAAATTCTATTTGGTTTGGTTTTTTTATTGGGTTAAACTTATTTTGGTAAAAAAATTTAAAAAAAGTTACTTACAATTTTATTATCTTTTGAGAATATTTGTAGAATAATTTTTGAGATAAGAAGTATGAAAATTTTTTTGGTTTGCCTTTTTCTAGAAATGGTTTTGAAAAATTATTTTGAGAAGAGAGTTTTAAAAAAAGTGTTTGATTTGATGTGTATGAGAGAGAAAGTGATTTTGGAAAGAAGCAAACCAAACAAAATTTTGAGATTTTTTTTGGAAAAATTTGTTTGGTTTGATTACTCTTAAAAATTTGTTTGTAGAGAATTTTTCCCAATAATTTTTCCCAAAAACAAACCAAACAAGCCCTACAAATTCCCAATAATAATTTTTTTATTATGAATTTTAAATAAAAAAAAGTCCAAACCCAACTTTGCAAGTCAATTTTTTTGTCTCCCCCTGAAAGATTTAAAAAGTAACTATTTTGAAAAATTATTTGTTTTATTAAAGATAAATTCTTTAAAAATTTTCGAAATTAAAAAATTCCTAATAGATAAAATCAGAAAAAAAAAAAAATATAAAATTAGATAAAATATAAATATATTTTATTCAAATTTTATCAGCCGAACCAAAAACTCTCTAACAAAAACATTATGCCGCCAAACGAGCCCTAATGAACCAAAATCGAAGAAGTTTCCTCTCATCATCTGTGTGTGCAAACAAAAAGGGAAGAAGAAGAAGAAGTAATGTCGGACTATCTACCCGAAGAAGTGTGGATTGATAACATCCTCTCAGCACTCCCCATCAAGACCCTCCTTCGATGCACAAGTGTCTGCAAATCATGGTACTCTCTCATCACTAGCCCTAGTTTCATTTCCACACACCTCAATCGAAACAAACAACAAGACCCACCATTATTACTGCTTAGACATTGCTCTGAGCGTCCTAGGAAAGAGCATTTCTCAATACACCATGACAATCCCACACTCGATGACTATGCTGAGCTTGATTTTCCATTTCATAGCGTAAATTCGTATTTCAGGATTGTGGGTAGTTGCAATGGTGTGGTTTGCTTGTCTGATGATCACATGTGCTATGTACACACCATCATTTTATGGAACCCATCAATTAGAAAATTTTTTAACCTCCCAAGACCCAGTGTTGTTTTTCAAACCCATGGCCCTTTTATGCATTCAATTGGGTTTGGGTTTGATTCAATCAGTCATGAATGTAAAGTGGCTAGGGTTACCTATGTCGAAGATGGTGATGGTTTTGACATTGTTCCACCCGAGGTTGAGCTTTACTCGGTCAGCAGGGGATGTTGGCAAAGCATTAGTTATTGTGGTCTTCAAAGCATTATTCCCGAGCGATCACCACAGGTTTATATCAATGGGGCTGTACATTGGATTGCATATGATCGGAAAACAAATGGAAGTTTTCACTGCAGTTTGATTGTGACTTTCAATATGTGTGATGAGCTGTTCCGGCAGGTTTTTCTACCAGATAGCTTGGCTGCCCAGCGCTGGACAAACCTGAAGATCAACGTATTTGGGGAATCACTTTGTGTGATGCATCATGTTTGCTCTAGTGCTAACAAAGGATATGACATGTGGGTGATGGAAAAGTATGGTGTAGTTGAGTCGTGGACTAAACTATTTGCTATCATCGATTATCAGGAAAGTTTGGGGCCGGTTATTGGGTTTAGGAAGAACAGTGAAGTCTTTTTGGTAAGTAGTGGAAATTTGGTGTCTTATGACCCTGAAACAAAAGAAAAGAAGAATCATGGGATCCATGGTATTGGCTACTTGTTTTATGTGGATACTTATGTTGAGAGCCTGGTCTTAGTCAGGGGGTCGAACGGACTCTCAGGGAGGCATGAATTTGTTAAGGAAACCGAACAAAAAAGAACAGCAACAAAGAACAGGAAGAACAGGCAACGTACATTTTTAATGGGAACAAAAGGCGAGATATGATTCTTACTTGTTCTTGATTAATTTATAGCTTACATTTGCTGTTGCTATTTGTTCATGTTATGGATGTGGAATAGACATACGTATACTTTTGAACACCAAAACATTATGTTGAATCAAGGCAACATCTTTTAAATGCTGCTAACCCATTGCAATGACTGAGTATGCATGAATTATGTTTTAGGAGAAAAAGATCAGTTTGTGGAAATTGACATCAGTAGCTCCGTTGTGAGTAATAGTTTCTTTTAACTTCAGTATTATTTCGTTTCTTATGTGTATTCTCTTGTGTCTTAGGGTTGTGGCTACAACGGAAGCTCAAGCTCAAGACTAGGAAGCCGGGAAAGGCGGGAATGGGAAAATGTTAGAAGTGGAGGCATTGAGGTAAGCCATTCCTTTATTAGTTGCCTGTTTGCATATAGTCTTTAACTAGATATAAATGTAGTGAAGTCTTCTTTCAAGAAATATGCGTTCAACTCTGATATTTTTATACTTTTGGAACATTTGTCTTCCTATAGATTCTATGTTTGAAGTATTACTTTACCATTTATATCTGTGATGATGTTATTGTCACTGCAATCTGTTTCTTGGGTGGTTGAATTTATATTGACTAGATTAGCCCTGTTTGGTGGGGGTGGTGGTTTTCATGATAAGCATTGAGAATTAGACAATTATGATCCGCGGTTAAAAAAACCTGTGGCTTGCTTCATGAAGACGCATACGGGCTTTGGTTACTCAAAATTGTCGTGTTCTCCACAGTGGAATTTTTTGGAGGGAACCCAAATACACCTTTGCTCCGTTTGTTTTCTAATGAAAATAGCAAAACGTGAATGTAATTTTAATGCTCACATTCTACATTCTAGGATTATGAAACGATTTTGAACCAATTCTTATCTGCTACTTAATTTTTAAAAGTTATTTCAAACGCCTGTTCAGTGCAATCAGACCTTTTTTTTTTTTTTTTTTTAAAGAAAAATAATCCCTTCTTTCCAACGAAACTTTTTTCCAACTGGAGAGCTGGAGAGATTGGCGTATAACTGAGATGCAATGCCGACATTTATCTCCCCCCCACCCACAAAAAAAAAAAAAAAAAAGAGATATAATGCTGACTTGCTCACTATTTAATGGAAAAAACCTCTAACATCTTGAGTGATAATTTTTAGATTGGACCTTAGAAATTTTTATTTGTGATAATTTGGATTGGATAGTCGTGAAATGTTTCTCTACCCAGTTCTTGCAATTTAATTTATGGGATTCCGGTGGAAAAATTTAATTTTTAAAGGAATTAGATAAAGGAAAGTTTCTAGTTTGTCAAATTATATTTATTTGCTGAAGCCCTAGCTTGGAACTTGAACATCAAAAGTCCTGCCGCAACTCACGTAGCTTTTAAACATTAAAATGAATCTTTTCATTTGACATTAAAATGAATCTTTTCATTTGATGATTGTAGATGACAGCATCATATTTGCCAAAATATTGGAATCTGTGTGCGGGATAATTAAATCCATTATTATTACTATTGCAATTTTGTGGTCACTTAGAAAGTTACGATGAAAATGATAGGAACTTCGGAAAGGGAAGTCAGGGTGAATTGTTCGAAACTTTTGATAGTTCTCATTGTTAAAAATGATAGGAATTATAGGTAAAGAGAAGTTCAATATATTCTACAAAATTTAATTAAACTGAAACGAAAATTTTAATTTGGAAAATAAATAGACTTTGTAGACAATGTACAATTACTTAAAATCATATTGAATTTGGTAATTATGGTTTCTTTGCGTGACAATTTTTGTGTATTTTATTGTTGAATATACATGATCTTTGCAGGAAATAGGACCAAGAAATGGGGTGAAGAAAGCTTTGTTGTGGGAGTGTCAGTAGCTCCTGCATCACTTCCACAGAGTTAGTTTTTGTTTTTTGATGCCTCACCTTTTTTTCTATTCTCTGTAGAACAGAGACTTATTCCGCCTTTTACATCATTTTGTGTGTAAAGCCTCTTAAAACTTTCATTAATTTATGTATTATCGTTGGAGTAGTGATTGGGTTTTCTAAGGACTTGTGATGGAGTCACAATAGTATAACTGAAGCATCCGTTATCCTTTGCGGATCCCCTTCCTTGAGTTATATTCTGCTGGTGAGTAGTCATGGTTTCAGTGGTAAAGCAAAACAATTAACAAGACGGAAATGCATAAAAGTTTAATCTCCTAGACTGAAAGAGTGATGAGATTATTAGAATAGTGGTTAGATATATAAGATAAATTGCGTTTATTTATGTAACTAGTATATGGTCATATTAATTGATTAGGATTAAGTCTATGACATTATGTAAAAGATCTCATGATATAAGAAAGTGATTTTGTTATTTTTATAAAATGAGGGCAAAATAATGTTTAATCATTCAATTCTATAAGATTGGATTGTGAATGCCAACTGTCCTAGAAATACTAATCTTGCAAAGGTGGGATTAGCAATTCGATAGGCCCTTAGTACCACACCCCTTTTTCAATCCCACCATTTAAGAGGCTCAACAAACATGGCCTAAAAGAATCCGGTGCCAATTTCTCATTCTTTCCCTTTATTTTTATTTTTTCCTTTTCAGGTTACACTCCCAAATTATAAATTCTAGTACGATTTAAGTTTGGACATCTAACTTGCACAAATGCATATAGATAATTCAAGTCATGATATGTTCTTGTTAAATACAGAACCAGAAAAATTTACACAACCCAAAAGAAAATATCTTGAAGAAATATACAAATCTGAAACTCATTGAGGGAAAGAAAAAGAAAAAGAATGAAGGAAGACCTAGAAACAAAGCGACAACTTTGGGTGGAGACAATGACATCGAAGAACTCGAAAAGTAGCACGAAACTGCCATCTTAATTCTTACAAATATGAAATATTTAGAACTAGACAACCGAATTATTAATGATTTGAGCATGACCAAGAAAAAAGTTCTTGATAATTTTGGAGCTAACCGGATGGCAAAAACACAATACAAAATTAAGAAAGTAGTGACAATGGAGATGTGATAATGAATCATGAGCACGGATGGCAATAGATGAATTTATCCTTCCAAAATTGCCCCTGGTGAAAGAGTTGGAAAGACATGGTATAAGAAAATTCTATTATACACATCCCATATTATATACACTCTTAGTTATATTATTTTCTTCTTTAGTTATGATCAATTTTTTTCTTTAATTAAGATATTATTTTGAAATTTTGATTATGATTTTTTGTGTGTTTGATTATGACTTTTTTTTTTTAAAATTTTATATTATAACTCAAAAGGTATAAAATTATACTATTTTCTTCTGTAATTATAAGTGCATATGGTATACACCCGGGTGTGTAATAGTCTTTCCCCTTGGTATAATGTAATTATGTTAATATGCAAATCTTATTTATTTATTTCAGTGTATGTCAAATATCTACATTAAATATATATTTTTTTGCTTTAGTCTTATTTTAAAAAAGTTAATGTAATCATATCAAAATTATAAGACTAATTGTTTTTTTTTTAAACTTTAGAAGGGGTAAGAATAATTTAGGAAACGTTTAGGAATAGATTTTTTTAATTAAAATATGAGATGAAAAAAAGATGTTTGTAATGATTTTTTAAAAAAATTTTAACTAAAAAGTATAAAAAAAAATATTAAAATGAGTGAGTGAGTGAAATGAAATCTTTTAACTTAACATTCACCAAAGAAAAAAAAAAAAAATCTTTAACTTATGACTAATAAATATCAAAAGGGTTACTAAAATCTCAACTCCCAAACAACCCCTACCCATTGACCAAAAAAAATACTAAAAAAAACGACCGCTACCCAGAAACAAAAGTCAATGCAATTGCAGAGATACAAAAATACACGGTGTCTCTATTTACACACCACCTTTCATTTCAAGGCACACCATTAATTAGTTTATTTTTTATTACAATATTAACCTAATGTAAAATGGCCACAAAGGATAAAGGGCTATAATATGCACCTTATGTAAAATTACCATAAAGGACAATAATAAATACAATACACACCTCGCTTCTGAAATGTTCTTTACGTATCTTCTCTCTCAAGAACTCAAGAACCCAAAAACACAAAAACAAAAATCAAAAACCCTTAAAGAAACAATAAAAAAAATGTACGTATTATTGAAAATTTTGATTGGATTGAATGATGGATGCATTTGGCAATATTGGTTTGGAACAATGGAGTAAGAAAAAGGTTAGTTTTTCATATATATTTTTTTCGTTTTCATGTATTTGCTGAGTGGTAAACCGTTTGTATTCGTTTGGGTACCCAAATTTGAACAATGTACTCATGTTCGACTATCTACAACCGAACAAGTTCTAATTATTCGATTTTCTAGTGTCGAACATAGTCCACATGTTCGGTTAATAAGTTTCGAACTTATAGCATTTGTTCGGTGTCGAACTTTGGAACTTAGCTCGACTTTGTATTTTTGAACACTTATAACACTTTTTTATTTTTTTATTTTTCCAGAACTGTGCATCCATGGAGGGGATCGTGAACTAGAGGAGAATGGAGTGAAGTCGTCTTCAGCATGAATGGAGATCGGTTTAGACTGGTTCCTAAACCTCTGGGATGACAATGAAACAAAGAATGGAGGGGGACATTGTGTGTGTTTTTGAAGTGGATGTGTAGAATATGGATGAGTAAAGATTGTGGATGGGGTGTGTGAGTGAGTAAGGGTAAAGATGGAAGATTGTGGATAGAGTGTGTGAATAAGGGTAAAGATGGAAGATTGCAGTGTGTATTGGGCAAATTTCTTATTTATCAAATTACTAAAGGTGTGCATTGAGTAGTGGTATGCCTTGAGATGAAAGGTGGTGTGTAAATAGAGGCACCCAAAAATACATTTCCCACTCTACTCATATCTATGTTCTCTCTCTCTCTCTCTCCCATTCAAGAAGCTTTCTTTCTCTCTCTCTCTCTCTCTCTCTCTCTCTCTCAAGAAGCTCCAAGAAATCTCAATCCCTAACTCGAACCATGCTAGACAATCTACCAAAGGAACTGTTGACTAAAATACTCATAAGACTACCAATCAACACTGTCGTTCAATTCATGTGTGTTTCCAAAGCATGGTGTTCTCTAATCACTAGCCCTCATTTCAGTAACAGATACCTTAATCGAACCCTTATTGTTTCCAAATCCAACAACAGTCATCCTCTACTCATCAGACACTTAGACGACATCGAAATTCATCAAGAGCACTATACCATACATTGGAGTAACAATGATGATCCAGTCGATTCGCATCATTTTGAGCTTCAATTCCCTTTTCGGGGTTTCAATAAACTTTTCAAATTGTTAGTTCTTGTAATGGTCTGGTATGTCTCTCAGATGATTTCTATTGTATTATGAACAATGTGATTTTGTGGAACCCAATCATCAAGAAGTCATTGACTCTTCCATTGCCAAGAACTTCAACTAATTGGCTTCAAGGTCCAGCTAGTCAAGTTATTGGATTTGGGTTTGATCCCAAAACTATAGATTATAAGGTGTTGAAATTGACCTATTTTGAAGAGGGTCTTGATTATTTTCTCTTGAAAAAACCCCCTTTCATTGAGCTTTACTCACTTCGTTTGGGTTCTTGGACAGACATTGGTGTTGTTGCACCTATGTGCCTCGTACATTATAATTCATCTCAAGCTTTCGTTGATGGAACCATCAATTGGGTCCCGGTTGATAAGAATAGGTCTAATGCTTTGATTTTGTTATTTGATTTGAGGGATGAGGTATTTGGAGAGTTGAATTTGCCGGAAAGTCTTGTTAAAGTGAATCCTTTGACATTGTCTATTGCAGAATTTAGGAAGTCAGTTGTTGTGTGCCATGAGCCTTACATTTCTTCTAGTAAATGTTTTGTATGGGTGAAGGAGTATGGTAAGGTAGAGTTACACCATTGATACGGTGGAAATGGGAGAGGTACTTTTCTTGAGGGGAAATGGTGAAGTTGTTTTGTCTTCAAGGAATGGATTGATTGCATATAATCCCAAGAATCAATGACGTAGGGATCTTGGGCTTCATGCTGTTCATTTCTTACTTTGTGTGCATGCCTACATTCCTAGCTTGGTTTTACTTGGGGAATGAAATGATACACAAAAACTTCTGACTGAAGTGGCTAATGTTGAGGAGGAGAAACAGTAACTTTGAATGAAACAGGGAAGATTAAGAAGAGCAGACAAGATTCAAGTGTACATTTAATAAAGTTTTAGGTTCTTGTTTCTAATATATTGCTGGAAATTTTGGTTTTTTTGAGAACTACCAAATACACTGATCAAAGCTAGATATCAATAGCAATGTAAATACTAGTGTTTTTTTTTTTATTTTTTTATTTAACAGTAAATGCTAGGTTGTTCAAACTTCTGATTTGTTAGCTCCATTTTTTATTTTTTTTGATTCAATTGTACATGTAGTTGTCAACAAAGGTGGGGTTTTTAGTCCTTCATATGCAGCTAAACTTGGATTCCTTTGACTTTTGTAGAAGTTTGCCTTTTGATTTGATTTGATTTGAAGATAAAGCTTGCAGTATACTTGTCAAGTCAATGAAATGTAAAAGAAACCATTCTTAATTTCGCGATCATTTAACTTCTTAATTATTTTAGAAAATTTAAAATAATTAAAATATATAAAGAATTGCATCCCAAACATATTTTTGCATCCCCGTAGTGATAATCTTGAATCCGTCATTGGTTTGAAGAAGCCTTGTTATCTGGCAAAGTCCTCAATAAAACTAGAAATAAAGTAAATTGTGGCCAAGATAGCATAGCTTTTTTTCAAAAAAAAAGTTTTATTATTTTTCTTTGGGTTTCCTACTAATTATTTGCTTGTTTCTGCTTTGAAAACAGAGTTCTTTTCACATGCTATTGATGAATATTTATAGTTAGGTCTGAGGTAACAGAAAACAGTATAACATCTCGCCAAAAGAGGACGATGCAAGAATGAGATTACATTAGAGGATGCATTTTGATCCTTAAAATATAGAGTGATAACTGATGAGGATAAGAATTGCGATGGCTTGGTCTGTCATTTCATGATTTTTCTATTTTTATCTTGTACGAATGGATGATGAATTGGTAGCCACTTTTTTTTATAAAAAAAGGGGGCAAATTTCATGAACACACAAGACTTTCATTTATCTTACTCTTTATTTTTCTCTTCTTAACCCTTGGAAATGCTATGCTAAAGACTATTCAAGAGGTCAAATGGCGTAATACAAACGAAATGTAAAGAAGAAAAACAAGTCCCGTTTAATTTTGAGACCTATAGGCTTAGGAAGAAGATGAAATGCTTTTTTGTTTTTGTTTTTGATGTTGTGAAATGCCTTTTTTTGTTGAAGAGATGGTTTTATGGCTCTAAAATTGAAATTTTTGTGCCATCACCTTATATGTCAATGGAAATTTATGGGTTCATTTGGGAAGTGGATTGGCTTTTAGACTTTTTGGCTTTTTAGCTATTTTAGCCTGGGGCTAAAAAATCTCGTTTGAGAAGGGCTTTTTGACTTTTTTGACTTTTTGAGAGAGAGAATGTAATGATTATGGGTTGGATATGATGTTTTGTCTTATTGAGCTAAAAAGCCTATTTTGTCTTTTTGTAGCTAAAATAGCCCCAAACCCAACCCAACCCAACCCAACCCAACCCTTCTTCCCAAACGAAGCCAGAGTGGTTAGGATTTTTTTTTTTTTTTTGATTCATAGCTACATAGTCGTTAGGATTGATTTAATAATTTTCTAGGCCATGTACATATGCAAATAAAAATGAGATTAAGAAACATTATTACATTTTCAATTTCCTTGATTAGGAGTAATAATCATTTGGCTTAACCATTATACCCAATATCTAATGTATATAGGTTGTGTTTTAAGTTTAGATTTGTGGAGTGATTTGCGAAGAAAAAAAGAAAATAAAAGATTTTTAAATTTAAAAAACATGCATATAGTTTCTACTTATTTTTCTTTATCTATCTTTGTTTCTTTCCTTCCTTTTTTTCTCTTCATAAATACAAAAGTCAAACACAATATAAAATTTCACTAATAAGAAGAAGAAGCGAGTGGTTTCAAAAAGAAAATTCTTTCCAACATTTTCTTCATCTATTCATCATAAAATAGTTGATCCATAGCATATGAGGATTGATTGCATATAATCCCAAGAATCAATGACGTAGGGATCTTGGGCTTCATGCTGTTCATTTCTTACTTTGTGTGCATGCCTACATTCCTAGCTTGGTTTTACTTGGGGAATGAAATGATACACAAAAACTTCTGACTGAAGTGGCTAATGTTGAGGAGGAGAAACAGTAACTTTGAATGAAACAGGGAAGATTAAGAAGAGCAGACAAGATTCAAGTGTACATTTAATAAAGTTTTAGGTTCTTGTTTCTAATATATTGCTGGAAATTTTGGTTTTTTTGAGAACTACCAAATACACTGATCAAAGCTAGATATCAATAGCAATGTAAATACTAGTTTTTTTTTTTTTTTTTTTTTAACAGTAAATGCTAGGTTGTTCAAACTTCTGATTTGTTAGCTCCATTTTTTATTTTTTTGATTCAATTGTACATGTAGTTATCAACAAAGGTGGGGTTTTTAGTCCTTCATATGCAGCTAAACTTGGATTCCTTTGACTTTTGTAGAAGTTTGCCTTTTGATTTGATTTGATTTGAAGATAAAGTAGTATACTTGTCAAGTCAATGAAATGTAAAAGAAACCATTCTTAATTTCGCCATCATTTAACTTCTTAATTATTTTAGAAAATTTAAAATAATTAAAATATATAAAGATTTGCATCCCAAACATACTTTTGCATCCCCGTAGTGATAATCTTGAATCTGTCATTGGTTTGAAGAAGCCTTGTTATCTGGCAAAGTCCTCAATAAAACTAGAAATAAAGTATATTGTGGCCAAGCTAGCATAGCTTTTTTTCAAAAAACAGTTTTATTATTTTTCTTTGGGTTTCCTACTAATTATTTGCTTGTTTCTGCTTTGAAAACAGAGTTCTTTTCACATGTTATATGCTATTGATGAATATTTATAGTTAGGTCTGAGGTAACAGAAAACAGTATAACATCTCGCCAAAAGAGGACGATGCAAGAATGAGATTACATTAGAGGATGCATTTTGATCCTTAAAATATAGAGTGATAACTGATGAGGATAAGAATTGCGATGGCTTGGTTTGTCATTTCATGACTTTTCTATTTTTATCTTGTAGAAATGGACGATGAATTGGTAGCCACTTTTTTTTATAAAAAAATGGGGCAAATTTCATGAACACACAAGACTTTCATTTATCTTACTCTTTATTTTTCTCTTCTTAACCCTTGGAAATGCTATGCTAAAGACTATTCAAGAGGTCAAACGGCGTAATACAAATGAAATGTAAAGAAGAAAAACAAGTCCCGTTTAATTTTGAGACCTATAGGCTTAGGAAGAAGATGAAATGCTTTTTTGTTTTTGTTTTTGATGTTGTGAAATGCCTTTTTTTGTTAAAGAGATGGTTTTATGGCTCTAAAATTGAAATTTTTGTGCCATCATCTTATATGTCAATGGAAATATATGGGTTCATTTGAGAAGTGGATTGGCTTTTAGACTTTTTGGCTTTTTAGCTATTTTAGCCTGGGGCTAAAAAATCTCGTTTGAGAAGGGCTTTTTGACTTTTTGTGAGAGAAAGAATGTAATGATTATGGGTTGGATATGATGTTTTGTCTTATTGAGCTAAAAAGTCTATTTTGTCCTTTTATAGCTAAAATAGCCCCAAACCCAACCCAACCCAACCCAACCCTTCTTTCCAAACGAAGCCAGAGTGGTTAGGATTTTTTTTTTGATTCATAGCTACATAGTCGTTAGGATTGATTTAATAATTTTCTAGGCCATGTACATATGCAAATAAAAATGAGATTAAGAAACATTATTACATTTTCAATTTCCTTGATTAGGAGTAATAATCATTTGGCTTAACCATTATACCCAATATCTAATGTATATAGGTTGTGTTTTAAGTTTAGATTTGTGGAGTGATTTGCGAAGAAAAAAAGAAAATAAAAGATTTTTAAATTTAAAAAACATGCATATAGTTTCTACTTATTTTTCTTTATCTATCTTTGTTTCTTTCCTTCCTTTTTTTCTCTTCATAAATACAAAAGTCAAACACAATATAAAATTTCACTAATAAGAAGAAGAAGCGAGTGGTTTCAAAAAGAAAATTCTTTCCAACATTTTCTTCATCTATTCATCATAAAATAGTTGATCCATAGCATATGAGCGATTTTGTTGTATTGTACTAAAGTTTTGATCCAAGTGACAAAAATATGTATTCACACTGAAAGAAGAAATAAGATAGAAATATGGAAAGAGAAGGGTGGAATCTGGTTCTGAGAAGAAGAAAGATGAGTAATCAAGCTGGCCGATTAAGGGAGAATGAGTTGGTCACTCTATTCGTGGATGAAGTCCCGGAGTCCATGACCCCCAGGGATCTGTTTAAGCTTTTCAGCAAATTTGGTGTTGTTAAGGATGTCTTCATACCAATGAAAATGAGGAAAACAACAAGAACAAGATTTGGATTTGTGAGGTATGATTGCAAGGTGGCTGTAGAGGTGGCAAGGCAAAAAATTGATGGATTATGGTGTGATAATAGGGCCTTGAAAGTGAAAATGGTGGAGTACAGTAAATCTGATCAACATAGACAAATGCTAACTAATAAAAGGGAGGTAGGTATGGAGCAAAAGAAGCAGTGGAATCCAATACAACCTCTGATGGGAAATAAAGGTAAGACATATGCAGATGTGGTTCAAATAGGAGGTCAAAATGGCAGAAAACATGAAAAAAAAAAAGTTTCTATCAGAGCTGTTGAGGCTGGTAACGGGTGGCGGTATGACAGCTTGCTGGTGAAGCTCAAAGAATTTTTCTCTTTTCATGATTTTAAAAAGGAGACGCAGAAAAGAAATATAAAGGGTGTTGATGTTCAACAAGGAGGAGAAAAGTTAGTAATTTTATCATTTAGCTCTCATCAACAGATGAAGGAAGAAAGAGCTTGGATGCGAGAGTGGATATATGAGTGGAGTGATCAAGTATCTGAGTGGGACGAAAGGATTTGTATGGATCAAGAGAGATGTGTCTGGATTACTTGTGTGGGTGTTCCCCTCAATCTTTGGAATCTAAAAACCTTCAGAGATATTGGTACTGGATGGGGAGAAGTAATTCAATACCATGAAGATACACTTGGGGGTAAGCACTTTCTGTTTGGCAAGGTTAGGATAATCAGAAACATTATGGAGCCCATCAATACGGTGATCAATCTAGTAGGAAATGTGAGGACCTATCAAGTGCAAGTGTATGAAGAGCCATTGGTCAGTATCTGTCAGTGCAATAGTGATTATAGCTGCCACAAAAATGAAGTATTGGAATCCAATATGCAAGCTGAACTCTATTATATATCCAAAAACAGAGGACAAGTTGATGCTGCATATCCGAAAGCCGTTGATAATGGAAAAGAAGGTGGAGATGAAGATGAAGGTGGTTCATCTGCAAAGAAGGACGATGATGAGGATGTGGAAAAAAGTATTGGGGTGTCAAGTAATGGCAATCACACAGTGGAGAGGGTGGCAGATAGCCTGCTCGAAGGTAATAATTATGTGTCTGGTTCAGTTGCCAAAGAAACTGGCAGTGCTCCAGGGAAAACAAATGATGGGGGCTACTGTATTGAAGAAGGAGTGGAGCAGGTAGCTGGCTCAAGAAAAGAGGTGCATGGACCTGCTCAAGGGGCTGATGACCATGTGTGCACTAGTGGGTTTATGCATAGTCTGAATGGAACGGAGGGTGGTAGGCCCAATATCAATTTAGAAGTTGTGATAAATGGAGCTAAAGATCAGCCTATGAATATTGGGCCAAGATGGCAGGTCAGTTTGACTTTGAGTAATTGTATAGCCCAATCCCAGCCTATATATGTAAAAGGAAACTTAGCCCAAAAAGACAAACATGAGAGGGGTGGCCCATCGCAGAGGGCCACTGATAGAACAAGAAAGAGGATTGATTTAAAGATGAAAGGAGTTGACCAAAGGAAAGGAAGAAGAAGGAAAGGTGCCCAGACAAATCAGAAGGGGATTTTATTCAGTAACTGCTTAAAAAATGGGGTTATCCTTAGAGCGGCAGCAGTTGCTACTTCCTTATCCGTGTCTCAAAGTGGTAATTCCAGAAGAAGAGGATAGCTGCTTACTAAAGCTTAAGCTACGGTTGGAGGAGGGAAAGAAGAAATCACATGCAAGTTGTTGTGAAGGAAAGGAAGATGAAGTGGTGGAAAGACTAATTGAGCTAGAGGAAAAAGATTTGGGATGAGTTGTAGGGGAGGGTGTGACGGCTTAAGATGTCGGAACAAGGGGGGTTGAGGCTGTTGTTAGCTCTTATGAAGATCATGTCATGGAATGTTAGGGGTCTTAAAAGACCTGAAAAACGGAGTAAAATTAAAGTCTTGGCGAGGGAAAGGAAAATCGATGTTTTGCTGCTTCAGGAGACAAAACGAGCCAGTGTTGATGTTAATTTTATAAAATCTTTATGGCCAATGGAGGATATGGGTTTTATGGAGGTTGATGCTGAAGGAAGTGCTGGTGGCCTTCTTTGCATTTGGAATACCAACGTTTTTCAGCTGATTGATTGCTGTAGTTCAAGGAATTTTATTCTCCTTTCAGGTATATCTTCTCAATCTTTCCCTTGCATAATATGTAATATATATGCTCCGAATGATGTTTTGAAGATGAGGAAGTTATGGGAGTGTCTTATTAATTTGAAACCTTTTTACCCCAATGCTCGGTGCTTGGGAGGTGATTTTAATGAGATTCGATTTATGAGTGAAATGAAGGGGTGTTTAAGAAGGGAGAGGGGTATGAAAGATTTTAATAAGTTCATAGAAATCTTAGAGATGACTGATTTACCTATGCAAGGAAGATTATTCACATGGTGTAATGCAATGGAGGCGGATAGGTGGAGCAGGATTGATAGGTTTTTGCTCGACCCTGCGTGGTTGGAGAGGTGTAAATTTAAACAATGGGGATTAGCCAGAGACATTTTTGATCATTGCCCAATTCTGTTGATGGAGGATGAGCGGGATTGGGGGCCAAAACCTTTTAGGTTTATCAATGCATGGGCATCTCACCCTCAATTCAAGAATGAAGTAAAAAAGGTCTGGGAGGGGGCTCAGCTTTTGGGTTATCCTAGTTACAAACTCATGCATAAATTGAGAATTTTGAGAGCACATCTGAGAATGTGGAACAAGGAGGTATTTGGTAATATTGATGATCAACTGAAAAAGGTTGCTGAGGAACTTCATGAATGGACTTGAAAGCTGAATCAAGATCCTTGGTGGAAACTAAAGTGCAAAGAAGAAGAGAGGTTAAAACTCAAGTGTGGCATCTTAGAAGAACCAAGGAGAGGATATGGTTATAGAAGTCTAGAATGTCATGGGCCTAAAGTGGTGATAAGAATACTAGACTATTCCACTTGATGGCAAGCAGCAGACAGAGGAAAAATTTCTTGGATTCAGTGAAAGTAAATAGTGTTGTAGTGCAAGATCCAAGTATGATGAGACATGAAGTGGAGAATTACTTCATTGCAGTGTTTGCTGAAAGTTGGAAGTGTAGGCCTAAGTTGGAAGGCCTTTTCTTATCTATAAGTCCTATAGATTCTGAGGGGCTTCTAGAGGCACAGTTTAGTGAAACAGAAATTTGGACAGCTATTCAAGATTGTGATGGAAATAAGGTGCCTGGTCCAGATGGCTTCAATTTGTATTGCATTCAAAAATGTTGGTCCATAATGAAAGGAGAGTTTATCAAGTTGTTTCAAGAGTTCTACAGTATTGGGAAGATGGCTCAGGGTGTAAATAGCTCTTTTATTTCCTTGATTCCTAAAAAGAAGATCCCCATAGCCTTGTTTGAGTATAGACCTATTAGTTTGGTTAGTTCTATCTATAAAGTGGTGGCTAAAGTGCTATGTAGAAGACTCAGTCAAGTGCTGCCTAAACTCATAGGGGAAGTTCAAACTGTCTTTCTTGGTGGTAAATGCATTCTTGATGGAGTTTTAATTGCTAATGAAATGGTGGATTGGTGGAAAAAGTCAAAGCAAAAAAGTCTCATTTTTAAATTGGATTTTGAGAAAGCCTATGACTCAGTTAATTGGGAGTTTCTGCTAGCAATGATGCAAAATTTTAGGTTTGGTCAAAAATGGGTGGGGTGGATTAAGGAGTGTATCTCTACGCCAAGGATTTCAGTGCTTGTAAATGGATCACCCACAACAGAATTTTCTCCTCAAAAGGGGTTGAGGCAAGGTGATCCACTATCACCTTTCCTATTTAATACAGTGCCTGAAGGCTTGAATATCCTATTGGAGAGAGCAAACACAAAAGGGGCTGATTAAAGGTGCTTTAGTGGGTTATCAAGGGTTAAAAATCTCTCATTTACAATTTGCAGATGACATCATCATCTTTTGTGAAGCATCATGGAATGAACTCATTATGATCAAAAGAATTCTAAGGTGTTTTGAAGTGGTGTCAGGCCTTAAGATTAATTTCCATAAGAGTATGGTTTGTGGCATTGGTGTGGAAGAGGGGTTAACTAAGGAGTTTGCTAAAAAACTTAATTGCCTTAGTCAGAAATTACCTCTTACATATCTAAGTTTACCTTTAGGGGCAAATCCAAGGAGAAGCAATACTTGGAAACCAGTGGTGGAAAAGTATAAGAAGAAATTAGCATCTTGGAAGAGGAGATACTTGTCTTTTGCAGGTAGATTGACCTTAATTAAGTCTGCATTGTCAAGTTTACCAGTGTATTTCCTATCCATCTTTAAAATGCCTGTTGGTGTTGCCAAAACAATTGATAGGATTCAATCTAATTTTTTGTGGGGAGGTTCTGACATTAAAAAGAAAATTCATTTAGTTAAGTGGCAGGAGGTGTGTCAAAGTACAGCTCAAGGGGGGTTAGGTGTGAGAAGGCTGAGTGAGGTTAATGTGTGTTTAATGCTAAAATGGTGGTGGAGGTATGGTAGAGAGCATAAATCATTGTGGAAACAGGTGGTCTGTTGCAGATTTGGTGGTTTTGGGGGTAGGTGGACTCCAGAACCAGTGACTGATGCCATGAGTGCTAAGGTATGGAAGGATATTGCATCATTAGGCTCATCACTTATTGTAGTGGATGAGTTTTTGGCACAAAATTTTAAAATTGTCTTGGGGAATGGGGAAAGGATTCATTTTTGGTCGGATAGGTGGTTTAACAACACAAGTCTCAGAAGTGAATTTCTTAGGTTGTTTAGTCTATCAATTGAAAAGGAAGGCTCCTTGTAGTTTTTTTTATCAACGAAAAGGGCAGGAGAGTGATTGGAAGTTAGCATTTAGAAGACCACTTTTAGCTTGGGAGGAGGAGGAAGTTCAAAGGCTTCATGTATTTTTGTCAGAGGCACCAAATCTAAATCAGTTATCTGAGGATTCATGCTTGTGGATGGCTAATCCTTTAGGTGTTTTTTCTGTGGCTTTAGTTGGGAAAAAGCTGCAGTCTCTTGGTGAGCCCATGGTTAGCATTTCAAAGTTCATGTGGAGAAATTTAGCACCTCCAAAGGCTCAGTTTTTCAGTTGGTTAGCTCTGGAAGGGGAGATTGAAGACTAAAGACTTCATGCATAGGATTGGAGTTCTGTCTACCAATGATAGCTTGCTCTGTGTGTTTTGCAAGGCAGAGGTGGAATCTATTAATCATGTGACGTTGTTATGCCCACTAATGTGGAGAATATGGTCTGACTTGGTAAATTGGCGGGAGGTAAAGTGGGCAACTCCAGGTTTTGTGAAAGTTTTGCTGCAATGGTGGTCTGGCATGAAATTTGGAAAGAAGGAGTTAGAAATTTGGAAGGTTGTCCATTTGGCCATGTTCTGGTCTTTGTGGAAACTAAGGAATGATTGTTTATTTAGCAATGGCAAGGCTGATTTTGCAGAGATGGTGGAGCTTTTAAAAGTCAGAATTGCCTTATGGGTCAAGTCAAATGTAAGGGTATCAATTATTCAGTGCATGATATTGTGGCAAACTTGAAGCAGGTAAGAGGTTGTCTGGTATATGAGGCATGCTGTTGTATGTCATATTGCTATATGTTGCTGCTTTGAGGTCTGCTCAATGGTGCTGTGTGGTGCACAGGAAGGGGTGCAGCTCATATGAGTGCAGGTCTGATGCTGTATGATACTAATGTATTTTGGGCTGCAGGGGAACTGTATGGATTGTTGTTTGTTGTATGCTGTTTGTAGTATGCTGTGTGGAAGTTGTTTGTAGTATGCTGTTTTGTTGTATGTTGCTGCTTTGAGGTCTGCTAAATGGTGATGATGCTGGTCTGCTGGTTGCCTTGCTACTGGTAGGTTTGGGATGCAGGGGTGCTGCTGTCAATTGGTTGTGTGGTTGCTGGCTACCTTTGAGGTCTACTGAATGTGTGGCTACTGGCTGTCTTTGAGGTCTACTGCCTGTCTTTGGCTGTCATTCTGCTGCTATCAATTCTGCTTGTGGGTGATCTGGGTCTGCTTGTGGGTTGTGCCGCTATCAGTTCTGTTATCAGGGGTGCTGCTCTTAGTTCTGTTATCAGGGGTGTTGCTATCAGTTCTGCTGTTGTTAGATGTTGTTGCTGGTGTTTTTTTTTTTTTTTTTTGAGTTGTATGGTGTTGATTTTTCAAGTTGTCTGTCTTTAATTAGGTTGCTAGTTTGGGTTGTCTGTTATGTTTAGGCTTGGTTAGTCTTTACTTGGTGTGGTTGTTCTGGGTGGTTGTGGTTAGTTCCTCACCAACTCTTGATGGTGTGCTGCATATGATTGGACGGTCTTATTAATGCCAACCTAGTTGGGATTGATTTGACCCGCTATGATGCTTTTGCACTCATCCTTTTTTTCCTTTATTGATGTATTAGCTTTCTTCTTCATCAATAAAGTTCTTTTTCTTTGCTGATCAAAAAAATAAAAATAAATATAGACAAAATATGTCCTCTTTACATTTGAAAAAAAAATTATTGAGTCCTATTGTCATTATATTCATTTATATTGACCTATCTAAATAAAAATTTTATAAAAAAAGTAACACTTATTAATTGAGAATTTTCCAGTTAGGCCTATTAAAGCAGCCTAAAAGTTAAAAAATCACTACAAAAAATTAATTATTCTCTTTATTTTTTTGCACATTTTTTTATAAAAAAATTTTGAAAAACAAACACTAAAAAAATCATCTTCCCAAAGCAATCCTTATTGCTAGGGATGTAATCGGTTCGGTATGGTCGGTATTTAGGTAAAACATTTCACTAAACTGATAATGTTTGTTTTATTATTTTGAACATTGATATAAACCACTTTTTCCATCAAACTGCACTAAACCGAACCGATTGAAACGGTACGGTTCGGTTTAGTGTAGTTTAATTGGTCTAGGACCTTTTAAACTTGAGTCACTTTTAAATATAATCATTAATCTATATAAAAATATTAAATTACTTATTTGTCTACCATTTCAAATATATCCAATCCATCCATTTAATAAATACTTTTCAATTCCTAGATTAACAAAATAAAGACAAAAAAAAAAAAAAGTTAACAAATACGAAGGTTTCAAGAATAATGAGTTACAATTAAGATTATATATAACAAGAGTTTACAAACTTAGATTATAAAGATGATAAGATTAATTAATTGAGGTTAATAATTTATTATACTTATTAATATCATTATATTATTAGATTATATATATATATATATATATATATATATATATATATGTGGGGAAGTATTTTCTGAGTACCAACACGTGGCAAGGTGACGCCGACGTGTCAGCCGAGGTGCCACGTGTCCAGATTGTGATGCCGAGGTTATCTCGGACAAGGCCGAGGTTATCTCCGAAGATATTGGAATCCGAGATAAATGGATAAAAGATAAGGGACAGGAGTCCTAGAGTAAAGAGAAGACTTTACTAAGATAAGGATAAAGCTTTTAGGGAGTTTATCTTTATCTCTTGAGGAGTCCAAAGTAAGCACTGAATTGGAGTCCATAGAAGTCAGGCTTCTAGTGGGACTTGGATTGAGTAAACTATAAAAGAGAGGCACCCCCGTGGGTTTAAGGTATGTAGTTTTATGCTTAAACTTGTGAGTTTAGCACTTGATTATCTTTGAGAGATATACTGACTTGATCGTCGGAGTGCCCCTGGGTGGAAGAGCCACCGCCGGAGCCTTTTCTTTCTGTTACAGGTTTGCTGAAGCCATCTATTCTGCCAGTGCTCACCAGCTGATTACTAGGCGGGCAGTGTGGTCAGAAAAATACCCACACAATATATATATTATAAGCACGATATATATTGAAGTGGTTGGTTTCGATTTAGTTCAGTGCATAAGGTGCTTGAAGATACCTATCCGGGGGCACTCCGACGATCAAGTCAGTATATCTCTCAAAGATAATCAAGTGCTAAACTCACAAGTTTAAGCATAAAACTGCGTACCTTAGACCCACGGGGGTGCCTCTCTTTTATAGTTTACTCAATCCAAGTCCCACTAGAAGCCTGACTTCTATGGACTCCAATTCAGTGCTTACTTTGGACTCCTCAAGAGATAAAGATAAACTCCCTAAGAGCTTTATCCTTATCTTAGCAAAGTCTTCTCTTTACTTTAGGACTCCTGTCCCTTATCTTTTATCCATTTATCTCGGATTCCGATATCTTTGGAGATATCCTCGGCCTTGTCCGAGATAACCTCGGCGTCACAATCTGGACACGTGACACCTCGGCTGACACGTCGGCGTCACCTTGCCACGTGTTGATACTCAGAAAATATATCCCCACACCAGTCAACAGGAGAATTTGCAGCCAGAGACGAAAGGATGTCGGCATACGCAAAAGAGGTCATCAGATTGGCAGCCCTATTTCAGAACTGCTGACTACTACAAGTTAGCCGAGATGACAACGCCAACGCCGACGCCGACGCGTTGGCTAACCTGGCAAGTTCAATGCAGACTGGAAAAATAAGAACAATTATGATCGACTATATGTTGGGCCCGAGCATAGAACTAGAGAGCACAGAGCAGGAAGCAATGTGTGTGGACATGGGGCCAAGCTGGATGGATGCAATTGTTGCATTCCTGAAAGAAGGAAAGCTGCCGGAAGATCGTAAGGAGGCACACAAAGTCCGATTGAAATCAGCAAGATTCAGTCTGACAGAAGATGGACACCTCTACAGAAGGTCCTTCACTGGACCCCTTTTAAGGTGCGTACACCCTTTGCAGGTTGAAGATTTCCTATATGAAATTCATGAAGGAATTTGTGGAAGCCATACTAGGGGCAGATCTTTAGCCCACAGGGCCATTACCCAGGGGTATTGGTGGTCCTACATGCAAAAGGATGCTGAAGCTTACGTGAAGAAGTGTGAACAATGCCAAAGGTTTGCACCTTTGATACATCAGCTAGCTGCTGACCTGAACCCAGTATCCAGCCCTTGGCCGTTTGCCCAATGGGGCATGGATCTTGTTGGGCAACTTCCCCAGGCAACTAGGCAGAGAAAATACTTGCTGGTAGCCACAGATTACTTTACGAAGTGGATAGAGGCAGAACCTCTTGCCAAAATCCGAGATGTGGACGTCAAGAACTTTATATGGAGAAACATCATAACCAGATTTGGGATTCCAAGAGCAATAGTTGCCGACAACGGAACACAGTTTGACAGTAAACTCATCAAGAACTTTTGTGCGAAATTCAAGATCAAGAATTACTTTTCAACACCAAGTTTTCCCCAAAGCAATGGGCAAGCAGAAGCATCCAACAAAGTAATTTTGGATGGAATAAAGAAGAGGCTGCAGGCAGCAAAAGGAAAGTGGGTAGACGAGTTGCCCAACGTACTTTGGGCATATCGGACTACGCCGAGAAGATCAACAGGGGAATCCCCCTTTGCCATGGCTTATGGCACAGAAGCAGTCGTCCCATTAGAGATCGGCATCCCAGGGATCAGAACCCAGGGAGTAGAGAATGGCACCAATGACATACTCTTAGCCCGAGATCTGAACCTTTTGGAAGAACGAAGAGAGAAAGCTGCAATTCAGCTCGCAGTATACCAGCAACAGCTTGCTAGAGCTTATAACAAGAAGGTCAATCCAAGAGATTTTTAAGTCGGCGACCTAGTCCTGAGAAAAGTCGTCGGCAACAAGAAAGATCCCAGAGAGGGCAAGCTTGGCCCAAACTAGGAAGGATCCTACAGAATTACTTCGGTATTAGGCAATGGAGCTTATCGGCTTGAAGATAACGAGGGCAATACACTGCCAAGACCTTGGAACACTTGTAATTTGAAATTCTTCTATCATTAGATGTGCAGTATTTTTGGCTGATGTCATCAATAAAATCTTTTCCCTTTTCTTTAAAACACATATGATTGATAAAGTTACATATTGATGTTTTTGGAGACATGAATAATGAGAACCCAAGTAGAACTCAGGTTCACATTGGGGGCCGAAAGAAGACAGAGATACTTAATTTACTTGTTGAAATTTGTAGCAATTTACAAGTTGGAGTTACGCTGATTCCTTAATTCACTTGTTGAAATTTGTAGCAATTTACAAGTTGGAATTAAGCTGATTCCTTATCTTCACTTGTTGAAATTTGTAGCAATTTACAAGTTGAAGTAAAGCTGAAATGGTTCCTTATCTTCAGTTGTTGAAATTTGTAGCAATTTACAAATTGAAGTTAAGCCGAGATTACTGTTTCTCTTCTGTTTCTCTTCACTTGTTGAAATTTGTAGCAATTTACAAGTCGAAGCGAAGCTGAGGTTGGTCTAACCAAAGAAGATGCTTAACACTTGTTGAAATTTGTAGTAATTTACAAGATAATGTTAAGCCGACATGTGATCATCTGTTGAAATTTGCAGCAATTTGCAGGTTAAGGTAAAAGCTAAGTATATTGTTTAAACACTTGTTGAAATTTGTAGTAATTTACAAGTCGAAGCGAAGCCGAGGTTGGCCTAACCAAAGAAGATGCTTAACACTTGTTGAAATTTGTAACAATTTACAAGATAATGTTAAGCCGACATGTGATCATCTGTTGAAATTTGCAGCAATTTGCAGGTTAAGGTAAAAGCTAAGTATATTGTTTAAACACTTATTGAAATTTGTAGCAATTTACAAGTAGATCATTGCTTAAACACTTGTTATAACTTATGAAAAGTTTACAGTATATGATAACACTTGTTGAAATTGGTAACAATTTACAAGTAGGTTAGACTGAGATCACTGTCTAAACTCTTGATCGAAACATTGAGAAACGTTCGCAAAGTTGACATTGAATAGTATATGTCTTACACTTGTTGAAAATTATGAAAAGTTTGCAGGTCAGTATCTTGCCGAAGTAAAGCTTGTAGTTATTATACCCGAGATATGTAACCCCGAGAAGATTGCACAAAGGTGGCAAAATATGAAAGGCATACAAAATATTCTAAGTATAGAACCATGCAGAAGCAAATTAAGAGAAATTAAAAGATTAAAGCTTCCATAGAAAAACAGTTGCAATTGTGTACAAAAAAAGGCACTACGGCCTACCAGAAGTAAATTGTTTCGAAATAACAAAGAAATGCACATTGGCCATGAAAGGAAGCTTACATTATCCAGAAAACAAAACAAAGTACAAGGGTGCAAAAGAAAAGACATGAAAGTTAAGACTTCTCAGCATCAGTATCTGGCTGGATCTGAACCTCAGAAGTCTCCTGAAGAGATACCTCGGCTTCCTCATCTGCAGCAATCTCGGCGTCGATCTTGGCAAGGGTTTCATCAACGCTCTTACCGATTTAGGGGTGGTCTCCTTGATAACCTCCCCATCCTCCTCACGAGTCAAGTCTAGGACTTGATCATCCTGAGGAGGGGACTTGGTCTCACTAGTATCCTTGGGCTTCCTTACCAAAGCTTCATCGTCATCCTTATCCTCATCCTCAGATTCAGACTTAGATTTATCTTCAGCTTGGCTTGGAGGTGGAGGTGGAGGAAATGGCAGAGGAATATCATCAGCCTTGCGCAATGGCGAGTCATCTGGGATGTTGACCTTTTTGGCAAGGGCCATCCAACCGAGGGAGAAGCCCCTGTTGCATGCCTGCCTAACTTGCAGTTTGTACTCCTCAGTGATGTCGGCCATTCCTTGAGCATAAGCCTTCTCGTCAGTCTCCTTAATCTCAGCATCTTTGGTAACTAAGGCCTGCTGAAGCTCTTTTTCCGCTTGGGCCTTTTTTACCTCGTCCTCTCTCTTCTCGGCCTCAGCAACCTTCTTAATGGCCTCGGCAAATTCGTCTTTTTCCTCGGCTAGACTTTGGGCTTTGGTGGCGGCCTCAGCTTGGTCCTTCGGTTTTTTCATCTTTGATTCGAGAGTTTTGTTCTCCTTTTTCAGGGCAGAAACCTCCCTCTTCATGTCGGCCAATCTCTGCCGATTTTCAAAAGCTTGCATTGAAAATGAATGGGCATGCTAGATGGCCTGAAAGAAAACAGAAGTGTTAGAAAATATTTTAAGTATGAAACAAAAAGAAAGTAGAAAGTTCCAAGCAGGAACACTTACTAGAACGGAGTGTTGGAGCATTAGAGCGTAATTCTCTTACTCACTATACTCAGCATTTCGCTCAAGGTCACCCGGGAGAAGCAACGCCGTGCTAAGGGCAACGCCGACATTTATGTCGTCGGCGCTTTCACTGGACATAATTGGCCTGTCTTCCAAAGTAATTTTGGGAGCCCAAGGGACATCCGATTTCTTGGACCCCGAGGTAGTAGCTGAGGCCGACCTTGGCTTCTTTGATTGTGTGGACTCAGAGTGTGGGGTTTCAGCAGACCTTTTTGCAGGTGCAGAAGAAATCTTCTTACTCTCAGCCAGTTTGGAAATAGACAAAGTGTCCTCAAATTCAACCTGAGTCACTTTGGCCTTTGGCTGAGCCCTTTTTGTTCTTTTTGGCTTTGGTGGGGGCATGGATTGAGTCAGAACAGCATCAACGTCGGCAGGTAGGTCGGCTAAGAGATCTACAGCAACAGGCTTCGGGCGACCCATCTCAGCAGTTTTGACAAGACGTCGCCGACGTTTTCTTTCTGGTATTGGGATTAAGTATGGGGCAGAAGTTGATGGTTGATCGGATGGATCAGTGGTTGACCCTTGGTCAGCCCGAGATGTTGATGCGGTTTGTAGAGTGGTAGCAGAGGGAGGAGATAAGCTCTTCTTCTTTCGTTTCGGGATGTCGGGCAGTGTAGACTTGTACGTCGGAATAAAATTTAGTACCAGTGGAGCCTTGCGCTTTTGGATTGGCAGATCTAGGAGCCTCTTTAAGTCTTTGCTGGGAACATAGGATTGGCGAAAATCCTTTGGTGGCTTGCGAACATCTGCAGGAAGGACAAAACATTAGAAACAGACAAAGTTTTGAAGACTTGAATAGAAACAACTAAGTATTGACACTGGGCTCTTACCCTTGCCCTCTTTAACTGATCGGGGAAGAGGGTAGAGATGGGCGTCCTCGTCGGCGCCAAACTCCTAGTTTCCCGAAGCAATAACAAAGTCATCTCCAGCCCCCTTATTGGAGTTTGGGAGGTCGGCTACGATTTTGAATTCAGTGGACCTCGGCTTAAGATAATAGACGAAGCTTTTTTCCTTCAGGTTAAGGGGGCACATGGTATAACAGTACTGGATGTCGGCAAGAGTGATCCTAGCATTCTCCTGCCTAGCTAAAACTATGATGCCATTGATCACTCGATAAGAGTTTATGGCAAGTTGCATAGGGTTCAACTTGTAAAAGTGAAGAATTTCGCGAAAGAGAATGTTAAGTGGGAGCCAGAGTCCGCACTCGGTAAAAGCTACTATGGGAAAAGGCATTGAATCATCTGTGGGCATAATGGAGTCATCATCCCCAGTAAGTCTCAGGTGGACATCGGCAGGAATAGAGAACTCCCGCCTAAAGTATTCAAGTTTGGTCGGGGTGTCTACTTTGTGCCTCCACATACCCATAACGTCGACCTAAAGACAGAGGGCTTTGTTTCGGAAAGAAGATGCTTTTAAGGGTTTATCGGGACCTCGGCGAAACCCTAGGTATATGCTGGTAAGGATTGTTTCAGTTTTTTCCAAAAAATTGATAGGTTCTATAGGCAAATCCCAAACCTAAATCTATGAAGGCAAAGATTGAAGGCAAAAATTGAAGGAAGAGATCTAGCAAAGACACAAAAAACAGAAAACAAAGGCGGAATTTCAGAAACAAGAACAGGGATGGGCTATCAAGAACATGAAGAATACAAGAAATAGAGGACCATGATCAATGGCAAAAATACAGTAAAGTGGTGCAACGGTGCGTGTGTTTAAGGTATAGGCAAGGGCCAAATCAAAGAATAAACACATTCAGATGAATGATTCACAAGATAGATATTTGAGCAAGACAGTAATAACAGAAGATTCCAGAAATGGTCAAGAATTGAAATCGGAAGAAAAAGTTGCTTACCAGAAGAAAATGAAGCCGATGTGAGGACTGTCGAAGTCAGTTGGTAGATACGGATGTGGCAGAACGACGAAAGTTCCACCAGGAAGACGAATACAGAGCTTGGAAGCTTCAGCAATGGCAGATTCGAAAGAACGAGTTTAGAGAGAGAAACAGCAAAAGCAATAGTGAAAAAATGAAAGAAGAAGGAAGCGTTTTTGTCAAAAACCAAAAACGGCGGCAAAAGATAATCAATGCGCCTGGAGCAGCGCATACGTCAGGCGACGTACACAGGAAAAACGTGGCTTACAGGCACGTCACAAACACGGACCAATAAGGAAAAGACGCGTAAGAGAAACGGTTGAGTAAAAGATGCGTGACAGCTCATACATATGAAAAGGATCACTGGAATTCTTGTTCTCCGAAGGGAACATGTCGGCTTGACATGAATGATCTCGGCCGAAGAGTTCTTACGCCGAGGTACTAGAAAACAATACAGATATAGGTTCCATCACCTCAGAATGTCGAGGTAATAGAACCTAGGGGGCAGTTGTGGGGATGTATTTTCTGAGTACCAACACGTGGCAAGGTGACGCCGACGTGTCAGCCGAGGTGCCACGTGTCCAGATTGTGACGCCGAGGTTATCTCGGACAAGGCCGAGGATATCTCCGAAGATATCGGAATCCGAGATAAATGGATAAAAGATAAGGGATAGGAGTCCTAGAGTAAAGAGAAGACTTTGCTAAGATAAGGATAAAGCTCTTAGGGAGTTTATCTTTATCTCTTGAGGAGTCCAAAGTAAGCACTGAATTGGAGTCCATAGAAGTCAGGCTTCTAGTGGGACTTGGATTGAGTAAACTACAAAAGAGAGGCACCCCCGTGGGTCTAAGGTACGCAGTTTTATGCTTAAACTTGTGAGTTTAGCACTTGATTGCTCTAGTTTTGTTGGGTTGGAATTATTAGCTGCATCGGAGGCTTTTGGGGATGGTAATTAGTCATATAAAATGGGAGATGATAGTCTGCACACTACAATGTCCAAGCCAAATTACTTGAGCTTCACAATGGCAGCACATGGAACTTAAATATGATGAAATCAAAAACCAACCAAGTCAATGTTTCAAAATAGGAAATTGGTAGAATCAGAATCAAAATCAAAAGTAAGCTTCTCTAAATGGAAAAGCATTGGACACGAAAACAAAATCAAAATCAAAATTAACCTTCTGAACAGCAGTCAAATTATTTCCTTTTGGATCCACATTTACTGCCAAGCCAGAAACCCCAATTTGTTGTTCTCGATATAACATTTCTTGGAGTTCAGCAGTCAAAATTCCATCTTCATGGGCACAATAAGGTTTAAATTCTAAACTCTGAATTTCTAATGCAAAAATAAACAATAAGGTGTGTCCTTATAAAGCATGAGCGTTCACAGGTTTAAGATATTAGAGAAATAAAAATAAAAGAATAAATATGAATTAAGATTCCAATATTTGTCCAAATATCTCCAACTAAATCACATTAGCTGAAACTATGAACTTTAGGAACTAAATAGATGAAATTAATAGTTTAAAAATGATATAGATAAAAAATAAAAATAAAAAAGATAATAATTTAGAGGATAAAAAATGAAATTAAAACTTAAAAAAGAAAAATTACTCCCTAGAATGACATTAAAACTTAATTTTAGACATTCAAGCCAAAAGCATGCATTTGGAACTACTTTTAAAGCTTATATATTGTTAGGTACCGTAATAGATTCTTAACATTGTATACAACAGTGTGTTTCATGCTAAGAATACAACCTGCTAAAATTGCTCTAGTTTTGTTGGGTTGGAATTATCAGCTGCTTCGGAGGCTTTTGGGGATGGTAATTAGTCATATAAAATGGGAGATGATAGTCTGCACACTACAATGTCCAAGCCAAATTACTTGAGCTTCACAATGGCAGCACATGGAACATAAATATGATGAAATAAAAAACCAACCAAGTCAATGTTTCAAAAGAGGAAATTGGTAGAATCAGAATCAAAATCAAAAGTAAGGTTCTCTAAATGGAAAAGCATTGGACACAAAAACAAAATCAAAATCAAAATTAACCTTCTGAACAGTAGTCAAATTATTTCCTTTTGGATCCACATTTACTGCGAAGCCAGAAACCCCAATTTGTTGTTCTCGATATAACATTTCTTGGAGTTCAGCAGTCATAATTCCATCTTCACGGGTACAATAAGGTTTAAATACTGAACTTTGAATTTCTAATGCAAAAATAAACAATAAGGTGTGTCCTTATAAAGCATGAGCGTTCACAGGTTTAAGATATCAGAGAAATAAAAATAAAAGAATAAAAGAATAAATATGAATTAAGATTCCAATATTTGTCCAAATATCTCCAACTAAATCACATTAGCTGAAACTATAAACTTTAGGAACTAAATAGATGAAATTAATAGTTTAAAAATGATATAGATAAAAAATAAAAATAAAAAAGATAATAATTTAGAGGATAAAAAATGAAATTAAAACTTAAAAAAGAAATGTAGATATAGAACATTGAAAAGGCAATAAATTGGACTCACAACTGAAGAAGAAACTTGCAATTGCTGATTTCTTCAGGAATGTTGCCAACCAGTTTGAGATTATGCAAATCCAGAACCTCAAGCAATTCAATGCTCCCAAACCCTGCTGGAACAGTTCCATCAACCGAATTATTCCCCAATCGAAAAACCAAAAGCCTCTTCAAACCCACAACCTCAATTGGAATACTCCCATTCAGACTGTTAAACCCCAAATCCAAGAATTTAAGGGCATTGCAATTTGATATGCTCAATGGGATCTCCCCGTTCAATCTATTCATCGAAACATCGAAAACTTGCAATTTCTTACTGCAAATCTCAATCTCTACAAATACTTTTCCATTACGAAAAAAATCTAACTTTGAATACAATGGAACCCAACAGATTCAGAAAATTAATAATGCATATAAATAAATAAATAAAACAACCCAATGGAACCCAATGAATAAATAAAACAACCCAGTGGAACCCAATGGAACAAACACCTAACGATTAAGAGTTCAAAAAATTCTTAGAATCTTAACACAACAGATTCTTAGAACTGAATCTTAACCCAATGCGACCTTTTACCTCATGTATTTCGAACCTTCTTATTGGCGATGGCGGGGTAGGGCGTCGGCGTTGGCGGGGCGGGACGACTATGCCCTCCTCTTTCTCTCCTCTCGCTGAAATGAAGAAGGTATGGGTTTGAGTTTGGGTCTCCGGCGAGGGAGAGGAGACGTGTATCTGTGAAAGAGAGAGATGTATCTGTGAAAGAGAGACGTATTCAAGAATAGAGAGGGAGAGGGAGAGAGAGATAGAAAGGGAAGGTGGAGAGGTAGACGTGGGTAGGTGGGAAAGGCAATGATGCTTAGGGAGAGAAGCCTTGGGCGGGAGATGTATTTATCTCAACCATTGATATAAACTTGGGACACTTCTAACAATCTCATTTTGCAATCTCATTTTAATAACAATCTCATTTTGCTAAATTATATACAATCTCAAGACACTTCTAACAATCTCATTTTGCTAAATTATATACGATCTCACTTCGAATTACATAAAAACAAAGCAAAAGTCAAAAATTCAATCTATCGACCATCTCCCAGAAATTCACGTGCTGCATGGATTGCAAATTTCAATCCATCTTATTAAGCCAATAACAAATTCATAACCTAATAGCATGTTCAAGATTATCACACCTTCAAATATACAAACTACAAACTATCCTCGCAAATGTATTTTAATACTTAATGTTATTAACCCAGATTTGTAAGTAGAGACAACTCTAAGGAACCAATAAAAAATTTGGCATTAACTGGGCAAAAAGAAAGGATTGCTTCATAATCAGTAGAAGAGCAATCACAGGCCTTAAGAACATCTAAATCAACATGTCAACTCAAATCTATCAAAAGATATTAAAAGATATTATGCGCACATGATAATAGAACATCCATAAAACTTCTCAACCTATCAATTTATTTTGTTAAATGCAAACATAGCTAGTTAAATTATTGTAGTCTGAGCACAAAGAGGTTTCTTAATTAGAAAAGTGGCAGAATTGAAACAAAGGCATACCTTCCCACTAAATGCAGCAATTCTGGTAAATCTATCATCTTTTCCATTACGTTGTCATCCAAAGGCATACTTTTTGAATCTGTAAGGACCTGAAGAGCATTTCTATATAATTGACTGCCTTCATCAGCATTCCCTGTATGAAAATGGCACATGACCCCACACTCAAAAACTTGAAATAGATCTCCATCTATGTATGAACTTTTAAATTTAAAGTTCACCGCAATCCACTCATAGTAGAATGAGCAACTTTTTGACCCCACACAAGTACTGGTGTTAACATGATCCTACTAATTTAAATGAAATCAGGAAGAAAACTACTTGCATACAATGAAGAATATGAAGTTCACCTTATGCACATTTCACATGGGCCAACAAACACATAGCCATTCAAAAACCCTTCCATCATTCTCCCTGTATAACTTTGTATATATGTCAAGAAATTAATAAATAAAAGACAAAAATATTGAAATCTACACCCAAAGCAATATACAGACAGCCAAATTGCCTAATAAAGGGATTTTCAACATCCATAGCTTTTCCAATCTATACAGAAATATAGAAACTCTGATTCTGTTTTCTGCAAAGGTTTGTGATTGTCTTTCAGCAGAGAGAGAAGGGGAACAGAGACAGAAATATTACCTTACACAGATAGAAGCCTCGGGTTTGGTGTAGCTCTGAAGTAGCTCTACTGGAGAGCTCCAATCGAGGTTCAAAAAGGTATCGCAGTTCTTAATCGGAAACCCTAGCCTTCAGAAAGCGAGTGAGAGGGTTGCGACTTGAAGCCACTGAGAGAGAATGGGGGAAAGGCAAAATCGAGGTCGAGTTCGAGAGAGAGGGTAGGAAGAAGAAGAATAGACACACTTAACATAAACGTACTTAAAAAGTATAATATTTGTAAAAAAAAAATCTTTAAAAAATTCAGTAAATACCAAAAAAAAAAAAACGAAAATTGCGTATATTTTTCATATTTTTGTGCATTTATTAATTTTTTAAAATATTTTTTTACAAATATTTTAAAATTTAGATACATCTAAATAAGGTGCATTTAAAAAAGTAAAAAAAAATTTAAAATTTTAAAAATATTTACTAAAAACAAAAAAAATACAAAAAATCAAAAATTTAATTTTTTAAAAATTAAATTTAAAAAAGTGCAACCAAACACATTGATGTCCACCCACCCAATTGATCCCGACCACCTTTAGCCACCTATGCCGCCATTACCGTCACTAATGTAGGCATCGAGGGTTCCATATTAATGCACACATGATAGAAAACCACCATTTTCGATTACAATTCTCCTTTCTGACAAATAACAATACTCAACTTTGTTACGCCTGCTTAATATGTAAAGCGTTATAGCATTCCTACCAAATTACTTATATTTTATCTTACAATATTATTAAAAATTTTATTTTTTATTTTAGAAATTACTTTTTCATCTATTTTTCCTAACAGACTCTCTATTCTTTCTCTATTCTATTGACAAACTCTATATTTGTTTACTCTATTCTATTAAAATATAATTTATCATTATAAATTTTTTAAAAAAAAGGAAAAAAAAACTTTAAGTCAATGTGAACAAATAAATTTATTTTCAATACTCTTAAAATTTTCATAACGTGGTTACAAAAACTTCACAATATTATAAGAATAACATGATAATTTCTCAAAAAAATAAAAAAAAATAAAAAATAAGTATCAAAAACCGTCTAAGTCGTGGTATAATTTAGGAGAAATAACAGCACAATTGGATGATAAAAAATTATAAGTCAATGAAAAAATTTATACATTTTAAGAATTAAAATATTATATTTTTTTATAATTTTGTAATTTTTTTTTTTGCTGTCATCATTGTGCAATTATTTTCTCTATAATTTATATACATAAAATACATAAATTTACTATTAAAAAAAGAAGAAGAAATGAATAAGGTTCTCACGTCATGTTGTTGCAGGTGGTAGGTAGATGAAAATACCCGGGGGAAGCAATTTATAGGTTATCGTTTCGTAGAGTTTTTTAAATATGATTTAAAAATATAATTGTATTTTGAGTTTAAAAGTTTTAAAATTATGCTTTGAGTGTAAAAAATTTGTTTAGTGAATGAGTTTTGAAAATAATTTTGAATTGAGTGGAAAAATTTTGATGTGACATATGATATTTGATACAAAAATTTATAACTCACAACCAAACATACAACTTAAAATTCTATTCAAAACTCATAAAAAAATTTTAAAATGCACTGTTTCAGTCAATTGGCTGGACGTTCAGGAGGACGACCGGTTAGCCCAAAATTTTCTGCCTTGGACAGAGTTTTCAAAAGTAAGTGTGAAATTAATTTTTAAAAACCGTAAATAAACACCACACTCAAATGTAATAGTAAAATTAAGTGTATGCGTTACTATGATTATTATACACTATTTGTGTACTAACCATAAAATATGAAGACGTATCAATTGGGCTTAGTGGAATATACATGGAGGCATGTGAGTGTTCAATAAGTGTTCAACAACGTCCTTGTTTGGTAGGATTTATAAGCTGCTTATTTCAGCTTTTAATTTAATTTAAGCTAAAATGTTTTGTTTGGTACAACTTAAGTTAGCAGCTTATAGCTTAAATGAAGCTATTTTTCAACTTATGTCAAAAGTTGGTGATCGGGTGCTTAAGGATTTTGACTTAAGCGCGCAGCTGGGGTTGGGGGGGGGGTTGGAATGAGTTAAATGCCCCTCCCAAACTTTATTATTTACAAAATTGCCATTATATATTATAGCGATCCCAGTTTTGACCCAACCTTTGATGTATTCCAAACTCGGGTTTCATAGTTTAATATTGTATTCGAATCTTGTTCTCCTCCTTTAACTCTTTGAATTGAGCTTTGAGATATGTTGGGCGCGTTTGGAACAGGTTGGTTGTTAGTGGTCTAGATTGTTGTTGCCCAGATTTTGGCTTCTTTGCTCGAGCAAGCCTTGTGAAAACTTGCCTATTCGCTCGAGTTAGACTTCTTGTGCTCGAGTGAACTTTGAGTGCTCTCAGCTTTTTCTCTAGACGCAGAATTTCTGGAAAGGTTAAGTCCTTCGCTCGAGTGAGACTTCCTGCGCTCAAGCGATGGTGTGCGCTTGTGAATACCTGAAAGTATGTATTCTACGCTCGAGCAACGCTCCTTGCGCTCGAGCGAGGCCACTTGTTGTGTCTGGTCGCTCGAGCGACAACTCCTTTGCTCAAGCGAAGGTTGCGTATATCAGTTCACAACAGTTCATTTTTACATAGAAAATTTAGATCTTTTTGTTCCAAAACCCTAATCCGGCACCTTCTCTCTCTAAAACACACACTCTCTCTACAAATACTCCATGATCTAAAGGTCTCTCTACCCTACCCCCTTTGATAAAGAACTAGAGCATCTTGTGGGCTTCCTCTACATATAAGCAAAATCGAGTTTGAGCACTTTTGAGTTTCTCCTTTATCTCTTTTGAGCTTCTTCACTTGAGGTAGGGATAATCTACACCTTAATATGGTTTTTAACCTAGATATATGTTGTTTAGTATAAATGGTGAGATTTGGATAAAGTTAGGGTTTAGATTCAAAATTGAAAAAAGGGGTTTTCATGTTAGTTTACAAAATAACTATGGGGCTTTGTGTATGAGATTCTCTAGTGTGGAATATGGTAAAACTTAGACATATGGGTTAGTATTTTGGAATAAAGGGAAATTTGCCCTAAGTTGGGTTAAATTACTACTTTGAATAAATAATGAAATTGTTATGGAAAATGTGAAATTGGGAGGATATGTGAATGAATGGTACAGATGGATTTGTTAAATCACTCACCTATGGAAATTTGTTTGATTATCTGTTTAAAGGGTTTTATATCTGTTTAGAAATATCTGTTTTGGACTATTGGTGGAGGATAGCTATGAATGTTGTAAAAATTGCATGAAGATTAAGTGAATTGAAACTAGTCATTAAAATTATGTTATTGAATATGACGATTTTGTTGAAACATTGAATATGTGTTTTGATTTGTCATTGTATATGACAATACTTTAATACATTGTGTATGTATCGTTGTTTGGGAGGAGATATGGGATGTACTCCATTGTTTGGGAGGAGATAGGAGATGGACTCCATTTAAAACTAAGTTGGCTGGAGTGTCCAGGGTGAAAGTTTCGAAATTATATATATATATATTTGGGTATCAATTCCTTCGGATGAGAATTTCGTAAAATGGCAAGTTTGAAGTGTTAAATGATGGTTGACATTGAATTGTGAATTAATGAGTTGTAGTCTCATTTGGGTTGTTTAAATAACAATGAATTAGACTCATGAATTGATTTGAAATGAATGAAAATGGATTGAGATGTAAATATCAATATTGAACGGTCATGGAAAGAATGTAAGTTGGTTATGTATATTGGACATTTATTCTGACATCTATATCATAGTTAAATCTCATATATTGTGTTAGTTTATCTCTATTGGGTTTTGGCTCACCCTACTTGGGAAACTATTTTAGGTGCTGGTGACATGCCTCCCCTGAAGACGTTGCTTGGGAGGGTTTATGAGCTGAAGGCTCTTTTTTTTTTTGTTATCTTTATGTTCATGTGTTTATTAAAGCCAAGAACTTTAAATGTAAAGAGCTTATGACTCTCTTTTGTTGTAACCAAGTTATCTCTTGGAAAGATGTAAGCCCATAGGGCATTTATTTTGTTATTATCAATATGTATTACATGCTGTAGATTCAGGACGAACGTTTATGAATGTATAATGCATGTAATACCTTTTATAGTGGTCCAAGTTTTACCCTGACCTTTGTTGTGTTTCGGACTCGGGTTCTGTGGTTGTTTGTTGTTGTCTATATCTTGTTTCCATCATTTAATCCATTGTATTTGAGTTTTGGGATATGTTGGGTAAGTTTGGAACATGTTGGTTGTGAGTTGAAACAAATGGTTGCTGCCCAGGATTTGGTTTCTTCGTTCGAGTGAGGCTTTTTGTGCTCGAGCGAGCCTTTGGTATTTGCTTCTTTGCTCAAGCGAGCACTCTTGCGCTCGAGCGTGTGTTCGTGTCCCTGAAAGACCTGAAGGTTGGTATTCTTCGCTTGAGCGAGCTTTCTTGCGCTCAAGCGAGCTTGGTGTTATTTGTTCCTTTACTTGAGCGAGCACTCTTGCGCTCGAGTGTGCGTCTGTGTGAGCGGTAGGCCTGAAGCTTCGCATTGTTCGCTCAAGCGACGTTTCTTGTGCTCAAGCGAGGTCCTTGTTGTGTCTGGTCGCTCGAGCGACAAATCCTTCGCTCGAGCGAGCCTCGTATATATCAGTTCGCAGTAGCGTGATTCAAGAGCACTTTTTGATTTCTTTTTTATTCCAAATCCTAATCCGGCAGCCTCTCTCTCTCTAAAATATCCCTTCTCTTTACAAATACACTTGATCTAGAGT